TTATAATATTGCACCATCTGAAGCGACATCAACATAACAAGTCACCACTTTAAACTGAAAACATATTTCTTAGCGCGTCATGAAACGCTAAATGCAGTTTCAAGCCTTATATCACACACACATTACACATACATACTTCTTAAGCTGTTGTACAAACTCATCATTCTTTGGATTCCTCTCCTTCCTTTTTGCCATCGTTTTCGGTCTTTTTATCTCCCTCGAACGCGCACTTCGGGTGGAGATCGAAATCACACTCCTTACAGTAGAATGACCACACCGCTCCCGGTTTTCTGCACCCATCGCACACAAAAACTGTGCGCTTCGAGAGCACAAGCTCGTGCTTCTCATGGAGTGCACTCTTCAACTTCTCAGGCCACCCCTTTGCCATCTCCTCAGATTCCGCTTGAAGCTCCTTCAGATGCTCTTCGGTGAAAGGATAAGCTTTCGCCCCGTGAGCCACTATGTGATTTCTTGCTTCTCTTGTGACGGTTTGGCCAGTAGGACCGATTGCTACGAGCATGGGGATGCCCTGGACCTTGAATTTGCGACTCAAGAACGCTTTCCTTGAGTCACCAAAGGGAAGAGCAAGCCATGGCATTGTAGCGAAAAACTCATCAAAAGAGTCTTGGTCTCTGTCACTTGAGATGAAAATGACTTCAAATGCATCGTCCTTGGCCTTAATCTCGTGGTAGGCTTCAACGAGTGTCGGCAGAAAGGAGCGGCATGGAGGGCACCAGTGAGCTGAGAAATAAAGGAGGATGTTCTTCCCCACTAGATCTGCCACAGGGATCTAAATGCAGAAATAACAGTCATTATTCACTTATTACCACCAAAAAGAAACACACAGATGCACACGCACATACAAATTATTTACACTGAAGAATATCACAGTATAAACCACAAAAGGAGGGAACCTATGTCTTACCTCAGTTCCATCTTTTCCAATGACAAAATTTCGATCCCCGGAAATCAAAATTGACTCCAGGGTTTGAGCTTTCTCCTCTGCCTTTTCTATCTCAACGAGCTCTGCAAACCTCTCCGCAGTGAACGGATAACCATTGGCGCCGTAGTCCCTCACAATTTTAGTTCCATAATCAATAGAAACCTTCCCATTGGCATCGATAATGACAAGATTGGGAATCCCCCTGACTTTGAAGAACTCCTTGAGGCGTTTCCGGGTCTCCAAATCCGAAAAGGGAATCGAAAGCCAAGGCATTTTAGAGAAGTATCCAGTGAACGATTCCTCATCTCTATCAGAAGAGATAAACACAACTTCAAAGTCGCCTTTGGCCGCCAATTCCTGGTGAACCTCCACCAGGTCTGGGGTGAACCGGAGGCACGGGCCGCACCACGAGGCGGAGAAATACAACCCCACAATCTTTCCGGTCAAACTACTGATCTCAACCTACATATTCATAAAAAAAATCACCCTTTTACCCAGAAATCAAAAACCAGCCATCTCAATCAGTCTTTCTTATCATAAATGCCAAAGTCAACATTTTGAGATTGAACTAGGCAATTCCCGAGCATTTAATCACCTGGGTTGCTATTATAATTACATATAGACTAACATTTTAATACTTTACGAACAAAATACAAGTAGTTTCCTGCGATCTTAATGAACATACCATCGGAAACTTTGATGAGAAAATATTGGTTTTAGTTTTACCTGGTCGCCGTTGTTGCGGATGAGGAAGTTTCTGTCGGCGGAGGAAAGGAGAGAAAGGAGGTCGTGAGTGACGCCGTGTTCGTCGCCGTCAGCCATGCTTACTGAGTCTCTCTATCTCTGTGTGCTGTAATTAAAGTTTGGTAAATTCAAGTTTGGTGGTGAGAGTTTGCGACCTTTTAAAGGATCGTCCAGGGCACAAGTAACCACTGAGAATTTACCAGCTGGGCGGCTAAGTTGAATGCTTTCTTTTGTTATTATCCCTAAATGTAATTCAACGATAAATATACGAGGTGGCCGGCCAAGTTCGAGTTTCAGTTGGATGCTTCTTTTTGTTACGGAACAATACTTGACTACTTAAATATGATTATGAGTATGAAATCGATATCGTTTATTTGTTTTTAAACAGTTTAATCACTAAACAATCTTAATTTTAATTGATTTTTTGCAGAGATGATCTTTGATCTTTATAGCATGATTTATACTAAGAACGGTTCTGATTATAAACACGAAGTTCTATAAATTGACAACGAACAATTTTGAGGAATTTTAAGTAGAAGTTTCTACTCATCTTTGAGTAGCCAATTATTGTTCTTTGTTATCATCCCTAAATGTAAATCCCACTAGATTATAGTTTTTTTATTTAAAAATAGTAGCTCTTGTTGAATTTACGAAAGTAGAAAATCGTAGCACTGAGCGGTAAGAAAAATGAAGGGTTGAAAATAAAAGATTTAATAATGGTGAAAATTAAATATAACAACTATAACAGTAAAATCATGTAAATGCAAGTTTTTTATTGTTGAAATACGTATGTTGTGGAAATAGCTGCAATATTTAGATGTATTTAATACAATCAACATGTAATGATCATACATAATTCATGCGAGTATATGTAATTAATGTAACCATTGTTTGACCATCAAAGACTTGAAATGATGATTATATTAAATACATATAAGTATTGTAGCCAATTCTTATTAGGGGTGGGTTCGGTTCCATTTGATTTGGTTTTTTGCCGAAACCAAAAACCAAAATGAATTTACTATTCGGTTCAATTTTCCTTTGGATTTTTTGGGTTCGGTTTCAGTTTGGTTCAATTTTTTTTCCTTAAATTGAAAAATATTATTATTTTCTAAATTATTTGGTTTAATGAGTTGCAATTATGGTTTCTAATGATGGTGAGATTAAGCCCTGTTTGTTGAAAGTTGGGGTAGCTTTTGTTGTATTTCTCTTCTTTCGTGTCAAAACCAGAAACAGCAAGCCTTCCTTGCCTGCCTCCACCACGCTCTATGTGCTCTACGGTTTGTCTTCAAACCTTAGCAGAGTTTTCAATAGCACTTGAGAGAAAAAAAAAAAAAAAAAAAAAAAAAAAAGGAAGAAAAGGCTTTCAACATATCTGAGCTTAAAATTAGGTGAACAATTTATTGGAAATTGTACTTGCAAAATAAACATCCAACCAATGTTCTAAAAAACGTTAGGCGCTAATCGACAGCGAGCTGAGACTTAGCATCTAGGCGGCTAGGCAAGAATTAAGTAAGTTAGGTGGATTTGAGTAAATTATTATATCTCATAAATAGTGTCTATTTTTACTTAGAAAAGAACCTATACTAGTATTGGATGACATTACATATATGTATATATATTTCTTTATTTTTATTGAAGTCACTATAAAACATATGAATAATTACATTCTTATACTTGAAATTACTTAATGTAGGTCCACTAAGTCTAATAAAAAACTAGAAATGAAGAAGCCCATTAACTTTCTTTTGTTGTATTGTTGTTTTGGACGTTTTTGGTTTGTTCAAGAAGGCCATTAAATTTTAAAGTCCATTTAGCTTTGGAAAACGGAAAGTTGCGGGTCCACTTAAATAGGCTATAGCAAACGACAACGTATAGTATATGTCATTTAAACTATTTATCGTCTTCATGTTCTGACCCGTTGCTCCTGCTAATGCATCTTTTTGTCGGTGGCCACCAGACTTTACGCTTTTCGTTCTGGATGCAATTCTTTTTTGGATAAACTCAATCGTCCAGGCAGATCTCCCAACCGTCCAGCCTCGCCTAACCTGCCCAGATCCTTGCTTAGGCACCATCGAATGGGTTTGCAATTTATCAAACAATTTGACTTTAATCGGAATGGCTGGCCATCGATTTTTAGAACACTGCATCCAACATAAATAAATAAAATTAATACATATTTAATTTGGTTCGGTTCGATTTCTGAATCACTGAAATCGAAACCGAACCAAAAGATTCCAGTTTGATTTTTTTGGCTCCAATTCGACGTTCAGTTCGGTTCGTTTTTCTTTTTTTTTTTTTTTTTTTTGCTTTTCGGTTTTTAAAACCCACCCTAATTCGTTCATAATGTAGCATCAACAAAAGGATAATACTTGGATGCTTGCTAGTACTCATTTTTTGATTTTGTCCAATAATATTTAAAACATTTTATCATTTTAAAAAAATAATGAACATGTTGCAAGTGGTCATTTATCACAGTGGTGAAAAGATGTTCAGCCATTTCATCAGCGTGGGTTTAAACTTCATCGGTGGCTAATCTAATATTTAATCTAACAAAATATATCATATAACAAAAATATAAAAAATAAAAATGTACATGTTATTAATATTTGTTTTAGGTTTTTAAAAATGAAGAACGCGTGATATTTTTTTAATTGAATTAAATTAGAAAGTGAGTACAGAGTTTTCACTAGTGGCTATTGAAGTACCATCCACGAAGAATTCGGACTCGTTTGGAAATTATTTTCAAATGATTGAAAACGTTTTAAAAGAAAATGTTATTTGGGTTCCAAAAGTGCTTCCTGCTCCTGCAAGAAGTACCAGTTATGTGCTTCTTGCATAAGACACGTTCAATGCTTTTTCATGATTAACTTACGTTTTTACCAAGAATTAATATAAAAAATAATTTCTCTAAAAGTGTTTTTGATCATTTATAAGTACTTTTCAAATGAGTCTTGATCAATTCTCTCTCTCTCTCTCTCTCTCTCTCTCTCTCTCTCTCTCCAGTATGTTTGGATATCTTTTTTGTTAGCGGATTAGTGGCATGAAAATAAGAGTAAAGCGAAGGAAGACGAGTTTGGGTCAAACCTCCTTATCCCTAGTGTTTTCCGTAGTAAGCAGCAATTTTGGTTTTGATGGAGGTGGGAGGAGCTCATTTGTGGACTTTATGACCGAAAAACAGAAGGTGAGAGATGATTAAAAATAATTAACAAGATATGTAAAAAGTAACAATAAACGCTTAAGTAGCACTCCACATATTTTTCTGATGACCAATGCATAAAAAAGTACTTAAAGCAAAATAAAAACCGTAGAGTTCTTAATTTGTCACACTCTCTTATAATAATAAAAATTAGAATATTATACCATCTGAAACGACATCAACATAACAAGCCACACGACATCAACATACAAGCCACTACTTGCTAGAAGCAGTTTCAAGCCTTATTATCTCACACACACATTACACATACATGATGCATACTTCTTAAGCTTTTGTGCAAACACCACCATCACAAACCCATCCTTCTTTGGATTCCTCTTCTTCCTGCTTGGCACCGTTTTCGGTCTTTTTATCTCCCTCCAACGCGCACTTCGGGTGGAGATCGAAATCACACTCCTTACAGTAGAATGACCACCCCCCTCCCGGTTCTCCGCACCCATCACACACAAAAGCTCTACGCTTCGAGAGCACAAGCTCGTGCTCCTCATGGAGTGCACTCTTCAACTTCTCAGGCCACCCCTTTGCCATCTCCTCAAATTCCGCTTCAATCTCCTTCACTCGCTCTTCGGTGAAAGGATAAGCATTTGCCCCATGATGCATGATGAGATTTCTTGCTTCTTTTGTGACGGTTTGGCCAGTAGGACCGATTGCTATGAGCATGGGGATGCCCTGGACCTTGAATTTCCGACTCAACAAGGCTTTCCTTGAGTCACCAAAGGGAAGAGCAAGCCATGGCATTGTGGCGAAAAACTCATCAAATGCGTTTTGGTCTCTGTCACTGGAGATGAAAATGACTTCAAATGCATCGTCCTTGGCCTTAATCTCGTGGTAGGCTTCAACAAGTTTTGGCAGAAAGGCACGGCATGGAGGGCACCAGTGAGCTGAGAAGTAAAGGAGAATGTTCTTCCCCACTAGATCTGTCACAGGGATCTGAATGCAGAATAATAGTTGTTATTCACTTATTGCCACAGAAAACACACAGATGCACACGCACATACAAGTTACAAAGACGCCATCTTCGGGCATTTGTCCTCACATTACACAAAAGAATCACAGTACAAACCATAAAACGGGAACCTATATCTTACCTGAGTTCCATCTTTTCCAATGACAAAATTTCGATCCCCGGAAATCAAAATTGACTCCAGGGTTTGAGCTCTCTCCTTTGCCTTTTCTATCTCAACGAGCTCTGCAAACTTCTCTGGTGTGAAGGGGTAAGCCAGACTCCCATGCTCGTCAATGGCATCGGCAACGTTCTCATTAAGTGTTTTACCATCTGCCCCAATAACAACCACCGTGGGCAAGGTTGAGAGCTCAAAGTCCCGAGCCAACTTCTGTACACTTTTGTCCCCGATGGGTAAAGAAAACCAAGGCATTTTCTCAAAATATTGCTTGAATGATTCTTCATCATCATCAAGTGGCACCAACACAATCTCGAAGTTCTCTCCATTTGCTTTTAGCTTCTCATGAGCCTCCACAAGTTTTGGAGTAAATTCTACGCACGGACCGTACGAGAACAATGAGAAATAGAGAGCCACTATCTTCCCTTCTAGTTCAGAAACGGGCACCTTGATTTATGCACACATCAATAACAAAATTCAGATTGTGCAGCCGTGTTACAATTCACGCAGAATTCATAAAAATACGATACTAGTAAGTCAGTTTCATAAACAAGTAGCAGCACAGAAACTTACCTTCTCTCCATCATTTGAAATTACAAAGTCGCGCGAGCGGGAGACCAGGATTGTTTTCAAGGACTGATCCCTTCTGGCAGCTTCTTCTTGATCTTTCAGCTCTTTCAACTTTTCCGGCGTAAAAGGGTACGCATCAGCTCCGTACTCCTGAATAATCCCAACTCCACCGTCACTCAAAACTTTACCATCTTCGCCAAGGATCACAAGATGGGGTATCCCTCTAACTTTGAACAACTCATCCACGCGATCGCGTGCCTCTGAATCAGAGAACGGAATTGCAAGCCATGGCATCTTCGTGAAGTACTCTTCGAATGACTCATTGTCTTCATCAGCGGAGATAAATACAATCTCAAAATCACCTTTTGGAGAGAGTTCATTGTAGGCCTCAACCAAAGCTGGGGTGAATCGTTTGCACGGACCGCACCATGATGCAGAAAAATACAGCGCAAGCTTTTTCCCCTTCAAGCTCTCAACCTTAATCTGCAAATCCAAAACTTGACATATGATTCCTCTCTTATATCATCCCATCGCCAATATAACGATCGAAACTAACCCCTCTACACCTCTAAATTTTGTTTTCCAGATAGTTCAGCGAGCCTTTGAAATTAGTCTCTCTAAACCAATCACTATTCAAGTTGATACATGGTTCCGAAAAAATCACAATTCAAAGACAGTAGTTACATCATAATCTAAACCGTTTATTTTCATAATTATCACGTAAATATCATCCCTGTTCGAAATTAATCAAATTAAAGACAGTTTAGTAAAACAATATGTATCAAATAGTTGGAGGGGTTGAGGAACTTAGGGCCTGTTTGCTATCTTTCCCCAAAACAACCAAAAAGAATTCATCTTAAATCAGTTTTTCTTAAAATCCAAGAATTTGTTTTGATATGGAAAAGATCCACAAAGTCGAGAGGGAAACAGCCCAGATCGTACGCTAAGGTCCCTAAGCAATCCCATAACTTCAGTTTGCACAAACAAATGCTCAGTTCAGTAAACCCCAGAAATAAAAATTCAACCCAACAGAGGATCGGAAAAAAGAGGTGAAATTTTACCTGATCACCATTGTTACGGACAAGAAAGTCCCTCTCGGAAGACGAAAGAAGCGAGACAAAGTCGTGGGGTTCGGCGCCGACCAGCTCGGCAGCTTCAACTTCGCCGTCCGACATTTTTGATCTTTAGGATGTTAGGTAGGGATTTCGAACTTCGAATTCACCGGAGGTCGTGTGAATTGTGAAAGCGAGTAGTGTGGGGGAAACTCATGGTGGGGTGTATTTATATTGCGAGGGAGTCTAGAATTCTCTCTTGCATAGGTTCGCGTACGAGCTCCGTTGGATGCATCAGCATGTATGCGTCAGCTTCACCCCACTCAAATCTCGAGAAATTTTTAATTGTAAACAGAAGTGGTATGCCACGTTATTTGTATAATAACACATCATGTATCATCTGTGTACGATCATATTAAAAAATATCTCTTAAATCTTAGTACAAATTTAACATTTTCTTTTACCGACAGTTAAGATTACGATCTAATAATATTTTTATTTATTTTACATTTATTTCTTACCTTTATTTTTTTTATAAAGAAAGAAAAAAACTTGACTGGCGAACAATTAGAGCAGCATTCCTGTTAAAAGCAGTTTTTTAGTTCGACACCTGTCCCATTCTTATTTTTTTAGGTATTATTTGGTTTGATGTCAAACCAAAAAAGCAGCCACATTCTCTTTTTCACCGAAACTGCTGCTACCGTGGTTAAACTCAAATTTATTTTTAACTTGGTTAAACTCAAATTTATTTTTTAGCACAAACGAAATTGTAAACTAATCCAAAAGGTAAAAGAGATTAAACCTATAATGTTGTGAGTTTGGGAAGAAAAGTCCGACAATCCATCACTAATAAAAATTTGTAACTTTATGTTTTCTATTGGATTTTATGCAAAGTAGAGAGAAAGACGTGTTCACATTTCTTTACACGTCTTTTTTTCTCTCTCTGTGGTTTAAATTTAGATCACAAAAGTTAAGTTATTATTTTGTATTATAAAAGTGGATGTTCCACCTTAAGAAATAGGCATCCATAACCAATAGATGTTGAATTTTGTGCTGCCAGCCTTGTGTAGCATGTGCTATTTTCACAATCCTTAACCTTAGCAGAGAAGTATACGTTTTTCTATATAAAAGCCTATTAGCTCCCAAATATATCATATAGAAGATACACAATTTATTATTTCTATTGCCTTTGTAATTTCAATTTAATAATGAGAGAGACTACTGCTAATACCTCAATGATTTTGCTTGTTTCACCTACTAAATTACAGTTTCTCATCTTATTATTGAAGGATTAAAAAAAAAAAAAATTGATACGACAACTGACTTACATCATTGATGTGACACTCTCATGACATTTGTGCATTAGCAATTGTAAAGCTAAATTAAAACTAAATACTAAAAAGTCAGAAATAACCTAATCAATCACGTAATTGAGCTGTTTCTATATGTAATCCCACTTTAACCTTGAGTGTTTGGATAAACACACTTTTTGACCAGCCAGCGCCCATTGAAATGAAATTAGGATTGACTAGAGTCACACGTTTGAGCTGATTTTTTGACATTCAAACCATGCCAGGACTTATTATGTTTGTTAGAACTTAGGAGGTGTTAGATGTAAAGACATTCCTTTTCTACATGGTAGGTTTAAGGAAGGGGTTGAGGTAGGGATTAGACCGTTAATGACATATATTTTCAAATTTCAAGTGGACAGATCACACTTCAGCTAACTCTATTTCCTCTTACGTTACTATAGTACTATATTGTATATTAATTGATGAACGTCATGACAAAATAAAAATAAAAAACTATTATTAAAACTTCAAAAATTTAATTATGTACTTCTCAAACGAGTATAACAATTCCCAATTAGTGTCACAAATAATGTGCATACACTCTTAGGTTTTCTCTAATCATAATATAAAAAATAATAATAAAAAAAAAACCTAAATCCAAACTGAACCCACGTAGCAGAATCGTTCCTTTATAAAAAATAAAAAAAAGGAATAAAGATGGCAATGAGTGAGCACTGAGTAAAATGCTTCATGATAGTTTAAATTATAAAGGCTGGCACTAAAAGCACCAATTTTTAAAATACCATTTCATTTATTTTTTGTAAAGTCTCACTTTGATACTTATTTATTCACAACAAATAACAAATTTTCAAACAAGTTGATGTCTTGACAATTATTATGTTCAAATTGCACCCTAAATGATTTTTGGATGAACATTTTTTTCTTTTCGAGAAATGCTAAGAAGATTATTTTAAAGTGAAACTTTTCATGGACTATCTGCCACCTCACTGTTGAACATTAACTCTTGTATCAATATTATAAAACATTGACAAAAAAAATGAGGTGACAGATAGTCTATGAAGTCATATTTTTTTAGAGAGTCTCTTTAGCATTTATCTTTTTTTTTTGGGTAAAATATTTTTGGATGAACATATTAAAACAATCATATGTAAGTGCAATAACAGTTTGGAAAGATGTACTTATATATTCCCAGATCAAGGGCTGAGATGGATATGTGCTGAATTTATTCCAATCATATGCTCAATTATGCGATTCCCTAGCAAACAAATGCTACTTTTATTTCTCAAGGGGGCCTTCCGAGAAACACCATTGCACTGTCCAAACTCCAAAGGCTCCAAAATCTTGCTTTCTCTCCATACAAAGCAATCTCTTGCAGCTCCTTCTTCCACAGTAAAGTGATCAACAGGGAATATCTTTACTTGTCTCTTTATTAAAGAAAGTTAATTTCCTACTTGTTAAACACAAATACCAAACAATTGAATCCCGGTGTTAAAGTAACGTTATTTAGCCGCATAAAACTCATCACACCGTTGGCTATAATGCATGAACATGGACAGAAGATATAGTACGATACGAAAATACGTTAAATTAACAAGAAGAATTGTTGTATGATCCCGAGAGAATACGACACAACATAACACGGGAATACGAGATAATACCATCGTGTCCATGTATAGTAGGCTGACACGCTGACACGCTCTCATATTATGTTGATTTTAATATTAATATTCGCATGGCCCAATCTCACATGCAATCATATTAATGTTCATTGCTTGATCCATGGGTAAACCCAATTCTCTCCCTTTGTCTGCACTCAAAGAACAAAGACCTGCCGAGACTTTAACACTAATGAATCCCTAAATCCCATATCCTCTGTATTATCCTATCCATACCATCATCATGTCCTCCTTGCAGCCCAGCAGCAGCAGCAGCAGCCTGTTGGCCCTGTTCTTGTTTACCCTAACAATGTCAACAAGCAGCCTTCATCTTCCCACCATTCAAACGGCTCATTCGGGACTGTTTTCATCGTGCTGGCCGTTATAATCGTCATCTCCGCCATCGCTTGCTTTCTAGGAAGGCTCTGCAACCGCCGCCTCAACAGCTCGAGACCCCATAGGCAACCGCAGCATAACTTTCGTCCCAAGAAAGAAGCTGGCCGTGCTGATGGCGGTGGTGGAGATCATCACATGGAGTTTGGCAGGGCTCCAAGCTTTCGAGCAGGCCCGAAAGTAGCAGACGTCGAATTCGGATTCGATAGGAAAAACCCGAATGGGAATAGCAGCAGCAGAGGAGAGGGCAGAGGATACATGAATCATCATCACAATAAACCACATCATAACGGAAATGGTGAAATGGATCATCACCTGAAGGGTGAAATGAACCAGCATCCTGGCGGCGACGGCGAGCATCACGTTGGAATGGGAGATCCCAGAGCCAGTGGATGAAATGATGATCAGATTAGTAACTTGTTGTAGCTGGATTGGCTTTCCTTTCTAAATTAATCTTCCTGTTTTCTATGTTCGTGTTATTTTTTTTCTTTTATATTTAATTTGTTTCCAACTCTGAAACTTCAAGTGCTAATATAGGTAATGTTAAAACGTTTGTGGCATATTATGGACTAGTGTACAAATTTATGGCATGGCATGATCTTCAATCACAGAAGGCCAAAACCTTGATCAATGATCGACACTCTTTGCATAGATAAAAAAGAAAATAACTTCTCTCGTAAAAATGAAAGTGGAAAACCCTGATCGTTACATGTATTAGTAATATCACGTGACTGTTATACTAAAAAAAATGCAACGGGCTTATTCTAAAGTGAAAAAGTGGTTTAAAACAGGGACAAGAAGGTAAGTGTCTCTAACCAACCATTCAATGTCATATGAAAAATTTAAACACGCGGCATCTTGTTACTAATTTATAATGCCATAGTTTGCATCCCGAAAATTGTAGGTAAGTCTTTCTCCATTTTCAGATTTCCGCCCAAACAAAATGGAACCAACCACTGTCCATGCCCCGATCAATTATATTGACGACAAATTCACAAACAAGCAACAACAGTTCATAAGAAGATTTTTTACGAAATAATCAAAATGATTTACGATGGACAAATTCAAAGATAATTCCTATCGATTTTCATTATCATAGACTAAAGTAAGAAATTATACATATCTCAATGATCATTTTTTCTCAAAAGCCTTGAACATTCACTGCAAATATACCCAATCTTTCATGGAACTTGGGCTTAGGCTGAAGTTATGTGTATGTATAAGACAGCAAGTAGGCTGTCATCATGTATCTGGGCCTTAAACCCAGGCCCAGTAAGAGGCCCAATTATATCACTGGCTTCATCTGTACACAACTGCCTCAAACAGTACTGTTGAGGAATTATCAGAGAATTGTAACCGTCCGGCGAAAGACAGACAACGTATACTGTGATATGTACCTTCTAGCTAATATTTTTTTTTCCAAAATTTTGTTTTTATCCTCCACCACAATTACATTTGGGTTTCTTTCAATATTTCCACCTCAAAATATTGCATTACCACGCTTCTTACATAAATTTTAGTGATTTTCACGCTTTCGTTTTTTCATTATGCACTCTATCTTTATTTTTATTTTTGTCTGTTAAATTTTCTATGCTTTATTCAATCAAGGTTTAAAAAGAAAGCTGAGTGCACGGGAGAAAGGAAAGTGTAAAAATTGTAATGCTACGCGTACCGAACCCAATTCACCACACATACATGAGAGATGAGCCTGCATTTTTTTTACTCAAGAAATGATTGTTTTGGAAAAATTATGACTATAGACCCGACATTTTTACCAAGTTCTATTTTGCATTTATGTATTATTTTTAGACAATGCAATGTTCCAAAATACGTTTGAGGGAATTCGAACTTAAGTGAAGGGGACAGACACAACCAATTAATCTAATTGATGTAAGCTCATTCATTTCGACTGTCATGACTCAAGATTAGACTCTTTTTGTTTATTAAAAAGGTGACTTCAAATTAATAAAGCTCTTTGCTTTGCGAATGACAAATGAAAACGTCTATTATACGCAGTCTTATCTTACTTTAAAAAGATATTGCTTATTAACCATTTCGATTCTTCTTACCCAAGAAAGAAACACTTTAGTATCTTTTTTACCTGTTCCAGTTAAGGGTAGCTTTCAATTCCATTGGGATCGTTTGAACCATTCGGTGGTCGTTTTTTGGACACTGGCTTTAGTCAGTCAAAACTGTCCCTTCCTCTCTCTCTCTGCTGGTGGTACAGATTGCCACTGTCACAGATTTGCCCCTCTGATCAAAACGATTCACTCCCAGGGTCCCCATTCCAAAAGCAGAGAGAAGTTTGTTAGCCTTGTCGTGTACCATGTACCCCAAAATTCATTAGCGTGGACTCACCACTCCAACCCATTAGTCACAGTAAACCGTCACAAAAAGGAGAGAAGGAAAATCAATGAGATTGATAGGTTTGGAGGGAGCAATGGAAAGGCTTCGACCCCTCGTAGAAGCCAAGCAATGGGACTACTGTGTCGTCTGGAAACTCGGCGACGACCCCTCCAGGTAAGTTTACCACCAGAACCCCACGTCCAATCTTTTTTTTTATCTTTTCGTTAAAGGTTTGAATTTGTACTTTTTATGTGCTTATTGAAAATTTGCAGATTTATTGAGCTGATGGGTTGCTGCTGCGGCGGCGGGTACGACGGCGGTACTGTCAAGGTGGAAGAAGGAGAGAGCGATGAGACTCGGGTTTGCAGAGATGGGTTTCTGAAGCACTCGATCAGGACTAAGGCTTGTGAGGCGCTTGCTCAGCTTCCTTGTTCCATGCCTCTGTATTCTGGGTAAGTTTTTAGCTCTCTTTGTTTTGGGTTGCGTTTTATGTGTTTGTGTTTTTGCTTATGAGAGATTAAACGCAGGATTCATACGGAGGTGGTGATATCGATGCAACCCAGGTGGCTCTGTGGGCATCCCAATGCCTCGGCTTCAAATCCTTCTCAATCTCACGTGGGTACCCCACAAGTCTCTCACTTTTTTCTTTTCTCATCACTTTTTCTCGGCAACCAAACAGTACGTAGGCTTTGTGTTTTAAAATATGGGTTTTCGAGGTTGGTCACAATCATTCAAATAGTTGCATTGTTTTCAGTGAAAACAGAGAAAACCCCCAGCTCCGGGCTTCTGAAAGTACCTCTATAAATTGTTTACTGAAAAATGATCTTTTCATTTTCTGTTTCGTTTCCAAATTTTCCCGGAAACCAAACAGCTCATTAGATGTTTTCCTACACTGGGTGGGAGTTGGACCTTCTTCTTAACATGGAATAATCTTACTTTTGACAGGATTCAACTGGAACCCGAGTATTGATCCCAATGCTTAGTGGCCTTATTGAGCTCTTCTCCACAAAGAATGTACGATTTTAATTCCTGTCTTTTCTAATTGTATTCAGACTGCGGTATACATTTTCTCCAACTTGAATAACGTACATTGCGCTTTTCAGATTCCGGAAAATCGAAAGATGGTAGAGTTGTTTACGGCTTCATTTAATGTCTCTGTAAAACAAGAAGTCATATCTGCACATGATTATGCCAGTGTGAGCCTCAATGCTAGTGAACCACAAAGGGTGCTACCTTCTTTGAGTTTTGCAAGCGTCATTCCTAGGCCACACGTTTTCCCCTCAGTTTCCCCATCCACCTCCTGCCCTGAGGGATCATCCAGCGGTTCGAACCCTTCAAGTCATCAACATCCATTGCTGTCTTCGCACTCTAAAAAGTCTAAGTGTGGCGACAACTTGATCCAGCAACCAGCAGGCTTTGCTTCGGGCAGTGGCAGTGTGGAAGAGGAACATAATGCAAAGGTTAACAGGAAACAAAGCGGGCACTACCGATCCAAGAATCTCATAGCTGAGAGAAATAGGAGGACGAAGATCAAAGACGGACTCTTTGCTCTGCGTTCTCTAGTCCCGAAAATAACCAAGGTTGAGACCCTCTTATCTATGAAATACTTTTTCTTTGCTTTTTATTTATCTTTTGATCTTATCATCCGTCCGTTGAATTATTGTAGATGAATACAGCTGCTATTATAGGAGATGCTATTGAATATATAGAAGAGTTGCAGAAGAAGGAGAAAGAACTTCAAGATGAGCTCAGGGAACTTGACGAAGAGGAGGACCTCACCAAGACCAAAGCGGATATGAAAGTTTTGGCCTTGGACGAGAGAAAAGAAGGCAGAATTTGCTTGACTTCTGCAGAGCAAAACAAGAGTTCCTCCAGTTTTGTCCGAAAAAGTCCAACCGTTGTATGCATAGCTTTTAATTTATCATCGCACCTACTTGAGCTTTCACATCCAACTTACACACTAGATACGTTTCAGTTCATTTATGTCCTGCTTTTTCTTAGGTGCAAGTGGAAGTGAACCAGATTGGCAAAAGAGATTGCTTGATTAAGCTGTTCTCTGAGCATAACCGAGGCGGGTTTGCAAGGTTGATGGAGAATATGGATTCCTTAGGACTTCAAGTTGTTGATGCCAACGTCACCACATTCGACGGAAATGTCCTAAATATTCTCAAGGTTGAGGTAATATTCCAATAAAGAAAATTCATCCTGTATTTGAACCTTTCATAAGAAATCATGACTTATCGAGTGAGTAAGAACAATTTATTTTGCTCATTTTTCTTAAATACACATTGCATTGTTGTGTTCATCCACAGGCAAACAAAGACATTCAGGCAAAGAAATTGAGAGACAGTTTAATCCAGCTAACAAGGGGGACAAATCAGACTGTTCATAAAGGGATAATCTGATCGATTATCGTTGATTTCAGAATACCAAAGGTTTCATCCAAGAACATCTAAACAGCTCCTTTAGCCATGTCAAAGTATGAAAGATTATTCTTCTTTCATTTATCGTCGGAAGTATGGAAGTTTTGGAGGCCAACATAACAGGTTTTTCCATTTCATCTCCTCATATATGAGCAAACTCATTCTTCAAGGACCTTTTAAAAATAGATTGCTGGGTCTAATGAAGTACAATTACAGTAAAATATTCTGCTAATGATTGCATCGTCGATTAATCAATGCTAAATTCATATGATTGATACATTCCGAGATCCCAAAAGTGTGTAAATACAAAAATTAGGCACATTTAATTGAAATCTTATTGCTCTACCTCTAGTATCAATACAGATTCTTCATAGTAATGACTAAAAAAAGTACCTTGAGTAAACTTTACAAGCTCTTCCCTGCTGGTAATGCGTCTAGGGAACGACCTTCATCAAGGAAAAATGGAGAAGAAAAAAAACAAGCAGCAGCTTAATTTACACTAATATGTCAGATTTAGTCAATAAATTTAACGAATGTGGTCTACTGTCTCCCTGTTTCTTTCGCTCTCTCTCTCAAACTCTCTGTGGAGTACCATGAGTTAACAATGTCAAGATGACGAGTGTGTGGACATTCAGAAATCAATTCACAATTATTTCGCCACTCTTTCTATTCAGAACCGTCTGCCTTGATTTCCACTGATTATCTGCTCACCACCACGCATGGTAAAAGCTCGAGTATCTGATTCATCACTTGAAGGATCCTGGCGAGTCCATAGACTTTGGGGTCCTGATACCTCTCTGGAAGTGAAATCTGCACTGGATATCTCTGAGCTGCCTCCGCTTCCTAATGCCATCCTTCTGAATCTATTAATGTCTTCATTGTACTGGCCAGAGTCATATGCAGTACTCTGCCCAACTTTCACTCCGTTCGTTAGATCAGATAATTCGCCTTCACAGTCCAATGCTCTTACCACCTGAAAAATAAATCATCCAGTAAGTCTGTAGTGGTGACAATAAGTCCAATACGCAAATAATTGTCATCATTGTTCTGTTTATTAGTATTCACCTGCGCCATTCGTGGTCGTTTTATAGCAGAATGACGCACGCACGCAACAGCAGCCTCGATCATTCTGAACATTTCACCCTCCACATAATGTTTCTCAAGCCGAGGATCTACTAATTCACTCAAATCTCCAGTTTCAAGGGCTTGAATAAGAAGCGGACGAGCCTGCGAAATTTTAGACAGAAATTTATTGAATGTGAAAACAAAGTGGATTGCTAAATCAGTGACGAGCTGCATTTTGACATGTTTGCAAAGCGAAAGGTGTTCATACCCATTCAACCAAACTCTCATCCCCTAAAGGTCGACTTGGATCAACAGGTTTCCGCCCAGTTACAAGCTCTAGAAGCACAACTCCGAACGAATATACATCTGATCTGTCTGTCAATTTGCCACTATTTGCATACTCAGGTGCCATGTACCTGAAAACAAATCGAACATAAGTTCCAAGGTTGTGATTTAAGTGTCACAGATAAGCAATGCGGTCATCAGGCAATAGTTCCCGAGTTTACAAGGTCTGTTTTACCCGAATGTTCCCATGACCCGAGTGGATACGTGAGTATTCATGTCGTTTGTAAGTTTGGCAAGCCCAAAGTCTGCAACCTGTGTTTGAAGAAATTCAAGATTTAGAAACTAGAGGCTCGCTGTCATAAAAACAAAATCAGTACAACATGAAATGAACAGGTATAGACATGCCTGTGCTTCAAAGGCATCATCCAGCAGAATGTTTGCCGATTTAATGTCTCTGTGAATGATTTTTGGATGGCCTTCAAACAAATCGTACAAGGAAAATGGACAAAGTGAGATAATTTGGACAGAAAGCGCTGACAATGGCCACTGAGGGAGTGGGCAAAAGGCCTACAAGCGGCTAATGAGGCGCGTAAAAGATGCATACCTGTGGCTAATAGCGTTATTAGCCACTGATACGTCTTTTACCCACTCCATTATGTATCGCTAATGTCAGTGACTATTATCGGATCTAATAACACAAAGTCACAAAGATGCATATAGGTACGTACAGTCTTCGTGTAAATATGCCAAGCCTTTTGCAGACCCCAAAGCAATCTTGAGTCTCTTGGTCCATTCCAACACCGGCATTCCGGCACCTGAAATTAGATAACAAATCAACATTTTGAAGTACCATAACAAGTAGCTGAATATAGGAGAAATAAAACTAATAACATCAAAAGATGAGGTTAATTAGACTGGATCACCTACCATGCAAATGGTGCTCAAGAGTTTTATTGGGAACAAATTCATAGATAAGCAATCTTTGCTGTTCAGAGATGCAGTATCCCACCAGAGAGAGCAAGTAACGATGATGCACGCGACTAATAATCTCAACTTCAGCCCTAAATTCCTTCTCTCCCTGTCCGCTACCAGCCTTGAGCTGCTTGACTGCCACAACTCTTCCGTCCGGCATCCAGCCCATGTACACACATCCGAAACCACCCTCACCGAGAACGTTTTGACGTGAAAATCCATTCGTTATCTCCATCAGCTCTTCGTAGGTGAAATGAACCTTGTTAGCAGCAATGAGACCGGAATCTCCAGAACTCTGCGGGGAAGGTCCGGGCTGTCCACTCGAATAGAAGCTTTCTGTTGGACCAGAAGCTGCAGAACTCTGTTGCTGCGCATGATAATATGCACCTGCATCACATACGAAGCACAATTATTGAGCTCATTCTACGTACACTTTATATTATCCTATGTTAGACCACCACTAGAAGAAAAACTGAGTATAACTAGTGCGGCATTAGCCACTTCAAAATAATATTATCTTTACAATGTCATTACAGAATAGGGTGTATAAATGAGTCAACAATGTACACAATTAACGGACAATCTTTACCTGGAGTTGATAAGTTAGTGCCGGGGGGACCAGGGGTGGGAGGCATGTAATTTGGGGGGTATGGTTGGGCCTGCTTCTTTCTCTTCCTTACAAACACAACAATGAGGGCTACCAAGGCAATGAGGAAAACTCCAGCTAACGTCAAGCCAATGACAGTGCCTGTATGCCTACTACTACTACCCCCTGAGTCGTCTGAAGCTGCAGACCGACTTCTGGTTGAGGGAGGGGAGAGGGTGGGGGCGGAATTAGCAGGGCGAGGGAGAGGCTGAGTTGTAGTTCCTGAACCTGGAACCGCTGGAGGGCTAGGCACTGTAGGAGGAGATGGGGTGGTAGGGTTGGTTGAAGGTGTACCTGGAGGTGGAGAGGCTGGAGGCGACTGAGAGTCACTAGGTGAGGATTGAGAGGAGCCTCCGCCTTGTGATGAATCAGTTGGTGGTGATTTAGATGATGAACTGCCGCCAGAGGATGATGGTTGAGGAGCATTCTCATCGGAAGAACCGCTAGGTGGCGGTGGAGAAGCTGGAGGAGAAGGCGACGATGATCCAGATGGCGATCCCTTGTCTTTTGAGGGTGAAGGTGGTGGTGAGCGAGGAGGAGGAGGTGACTTTGGTGGCGATGATGATGGTGGTGGTGAAGACGGAGGTGGTGACGATGGTGGAGGTGATGATGGCGGCGGAGATGGTGGTGGTGGTGAAGGTTTGGGGGATGGTGAAGACTTTGGGGCAGGTGAGTCTGATTTTGGAGGCGGAGACTCTGATTTCGGAGGGGGCGCTTGTGATGGCGGAGGTGGGGAAGGCGTAGACGGTGTTGATTTGCTGTCCTCGGTACTATCGTGGGGCTGCGCTGTGATCTTGCTGTCACTTAACGTTGCCGCGATTGGTGAGTCATGATGAGGTGGTGAATGTGGGTCAGGAGGGTGAGATTCATGCTCATTTGATTCCGACATAATTCTCCTTCCTTTAATTCGTAACCTCTCTCCCTTTTTCTTTCTATCAAGGTTTCCTCCTTCCCAGTTTCCCCTGTAATAATTAGTTTAGCACAAGATTAATTAACTAAACCTTTCATTAAATCCAATATTTACCAGAGGAAAAAAAGGCCTAAACAAATAATAATAATAATAATAAACCCAATAATCCTATGTAATGCGGCAAAGGTTTCAAGCTCGCAAAAAACGAAAAAAGCAACAAGAACCTGTACATGCAATAATGCAAATTTTACGTTGGATAGGTTTGCATGGATGCGGTAGCAGCTACGTACAACTTCACGTACGTACAATGGCCTCAACTGCGTCTGCATGCAAGCAACCATGCACGTACGTACGATTAAACAAAAACCTATCTCTCTAGTTCAAACAAATTAATTGTGTTTGCGTTCCGAGAGAGAGAGAGCGGAATTAGAGAGATTATACAGAGATGGATACAGATCGAGAGGGTGGTTGTGAGAGAACTGAAAAGCATTCAACACCACCCACACCACCACCTAATGCCACCAAAAACAACCAAATTAAAAATAAAGAAAAATGATTTGAAAAAGGTAAAAAAAACAATCCCGAAAATTTCTCTCTTGGTTTTTCTTATTAAGGTGTTTTTTGTATGTGTGTATTTTGTGGTTTTTTTGGGTTGGTTAAACCCCAACTGTCGCTCTCTCTTATTTCTGAGGTGCTGCTCCTCCTTGTATGTCGGGTTACCGTCCAACCTAAACGGGATGGTGGGTAATGCTTTTGTGTCACGCCAAGTCGTGCCGGTCGGGTCGAGCAGGATCGGAATCGGCGTCGTGGTGAATGTGTTTGTTCCTCTAACTCAAACTCGATTTCAATCTCATTTTTCTTCCTCTAACTCAAAAGTCGTCATTTTATTCCCTAAAGCTTAAAATCTACTCCAATTTGCCTCACCCCGGGAAACCCCATTTTGCCTCATAAAACTCAAAAGTCAACTTCTGACTCTATAAAACTAAAAATTCGCTCCACATCGCCTTAATTATGTTGATTTCATTAGGTAAGTTTCGTTTGGGTGCACCATGCTAATCAATTTTTATTTTTTTTATTTCTTTCATCTCTGCAACTCAAGCACATCCATCCAAAAATTCCAAAATTTTAGTTTCTTCTTTTAAACTTAATATTTTCTCTTAAAAGTTGAATGTTAACGCATAGTAGAGATTTATAATCAAATCCACTTACACATGTGGCATAGCTAGTCTTATTGGGTTATGGTTCCCATAAATGTTCCAGGAAGTCATTTTTGAGTTTTAGTAAGAAAGAGAGAGAGTCCACTAGTTAAAGTGGAATGGATTTTGAGTTTTAGGGAATAAAATGATGATTTTTTAGTTACAAGAGTAAAGTGAGATCAAAATCGAGTTTCAGAAAGTATAGCTAAAATAAGCATAAATAATGCTCATCGATTTTTTTGAGGAAAGATCGTGTTTTTTTCTTCGCCTTTTCGCTAAAAGAGGAAAGATAATGTCTCCCTACTAATAGAATTTTTTTTTATTATCATTAAAGGGAGGAGGGATGAAGAGATGGGAGGGTTTGAAACTATTATAATAATTTAAGAAAGAGAGAAGTTTCGAACCTGGGCGCATGTGTAGAAAACCAACACCCTATCCACTAAGATATTGGACCACATGCGTAATACTAGGTAACCCAACTTAATCTGTACTTTAATTCTAGTTAAAATTCGACTAATAATTGCAATAAAAGAATTTATGATGTAAAATATGTCACATAATTTGTTGTACGAATTTGGTGTATACAGCACCACCCATTTGCTACAAAAATTGTACTTGTGAATGGTAATATCCACGAATTATAGGATCCCAAATGGGTATCTTATTAGAGCAGCTCCAGCGGGAGCTCCTGCTCGAGGGACGGGCTCCGGAACAGGGTTGGATTGCCCGAGGGAGGAAGTCCAGTGTTGGCTGGCGAGGGAGCTCTAGTAGGCTCGAGCGCCAGGTGCGTCGATTTGTGCCGGCCCGAGCGCCCGAAGGCAATCTGACGTGGGTTGACATCAGGACGACGTCTCCACGCTTTTTGAGGGCCACAGAGGTTGTTGCTGCTGTTCGGGGCAGCCGCAGTGCTGGTGAGCCTGAGCTCGCTTCAAGGCAGCCATGATAGCATTAGAGATGGGGGGCTCCATACCGGGACTCATGTTTTGGGCAGTGGGCAACCGCTCCAGAGCAACACTGAAGCAGAGCTCCAAGGCTCGGCATTGCAGAGGGTGGGAGGAATTGGGGTGAGATTTGATGCATGCTTGGCAGAGGAAGCCGGTGAGGGAGGACAAAAGGGTTCCGTCGACCCGCTTCGGTAGAGACAAAAGCAGCAGCAACAAATGAAATCAACGATGGAGATGCAACGGTTAAGACAAGTTTTGTGAAAAAAAATACTATTATTTTATAAATAAATAAAATACTATTATTTTATTGCCTATTACTAAGGCTATTCAAGTGCAACGATGGAGATGCAAAAGGCAGTTACTGTTCACTAGGTGGATTGAATAGTGAATAGCCTAGAGGGAGGGTTCCCACGCTGGAGTTGCTCTTACGTGTCTCAAAAACACCAATTATCAAATCAAGAGTATAGTAAGAATTTAAGAATGTGCATAGCAACATCAATGATAAGTATTAAAGGGATTGCAAAAGCAACAACTTAAAAAAGATAAAATAAACTTGACAAAAATAGCATAGAGAAACCAAAAAACTCACGTCACTAAAATGTAATATTTGTTCTTACGAATCGAAGTTACATTGCCAAAATAAAAACCAGCACCATATTGCCAAAGAAAACTTGTAGAACAATGGGCAAATTTGGGAGAGATTGTCTTTAGCAATCTAAATGTGCATCACATCATAACACTCAAACACTAATTTGAAGATTGAAAATCTCTTAGAATCTACATTCAACATTACCCATTAATAAGTAATTTTCTTCATAATTTGATACTTTACGTGTTTCTTACTACGATTATCAGCATGGCCTCAAGCACACTACACTTCTTAAGTGATTTTTAAACCAACAAGAATTTTAAATTCAATTTATTCAGGGAGTTATTTTCCCTGAAATAGCACAAAATACCATATACTTTGAAACCTCTGTTGCTTGGGACTGAAGAAAAGATGATGACATGTCACGTAACCAAAACAACACACTATTATGTTTTGGGTACCCCACGTGCGACAAAAACGAACAATTCTCTATAGCCCACGTCCCAATTGGACTATGGACCCACTCAAGGTCCAATCCAAATTTTATTTATAAACTCTTATTTAAATTTTATTAAATATTTCCTCATGCAAATTGGAAACCAAATCCAAATCTGAGAAGGAAAACTTGCTTCGAAAGTAAACGGATGAAAAACAACCCACGTCCCGCATGACCGGCATTAAATTCCCGAAATTACCAAACCACCCTCCCACCAAACCCGCAGATACCTAAAATATCCCTATCAACGGTCCACAAAACGGTCCCTTCTCGGGCGCCATATCTAATTTGCCGCTGTGCAAATTAGACAATCCATACAATTCAAAATCCTATTTTCTAGAGGCCACGAAAGGTTCCCACCGCCTGAGACTAGTTACGTACAGCGACTCCGCCGTAAATTAAAACTCTAAACCGCCACGAATCTCCGAAGTGCCTCCGATAAATAAAACCTTTCCTGATCCATTTGGTCCCGGATTCTCAGATTTTGAACCGTTTCTTGCTTCTGGATTTTTTTTAAAAAAAATTTTGTATACAGAGTTATTTGTAGTTATTTTTCTTTCAATTTCTCGCCGATCCGGTCGCTTAATTCGTAAGTTTAGCAGCGATGTCGACCGATGAGTTTGAATTCGAAGACCAAATCTCGATGACTATTGATAATGACGAAGAAATTCTGGATTCTGGGTCTGATGGGGGCGATTCGAACAACGCAGTTTCGGGTCGGTTTGGGGTTTTCACCCGGAGCGGGATGGTCCGGGTGGACGACGAGAGTTTCGAGCACGAGATCATCAGGAAGAGCTTTGTTTTGGGCATGGGTTTGGCCGGGAGGGACACGAATATTGTGGCGGTGCACAAGAACTTCAGCTCCGATCCGACGAGGAGGGCGAGGTTCGAGTCGTTTAAGATTTTCACTCGGGCGGTGGCTCGGAAATGCGGCGGGAACGCCAACGTTAAGTACGGTTGGTACGGCGGATCGAAGGAGGAGCTTTGTGATGTTTTGGTCCATGGCTTCAGTCGGTGCAGGGAGCCTGCTCCAAATGAAGTGTCGTACGGTGTCGGTGTTCATATGATTCCTGCCGAATTTACATGTGATGGGTGAGTTTTTTTATTTGTACCCATTTCTTGTTTGTGTTTGATCTTTGAGAAATTTGATATCTTTGAAATCGAAGCGTTTCATTTTTATCGAAGAATTGATGGGTTGTATTGAGCGTTTGGGTAGGGCATTGTCCTCGGTTGTTGATGAAAGTGGGCTGAAGCACATGTTGCTGTGCCGTGTGATATTGGGGAAGGCGGAACCGGTGGCGCCGGGGTCGAAGCAATCACAACCAAGCTCCAAGGAGGTGGACACTGGAGTGGACAATTTGGTCAATCCAAGAAGATATGTTGTTGGAGTGCTATCATGAACTCTCACATATACCCTTGCTATTTGATCAGCTTCAAAGCTCCTAGTACTCTCCCAAATGGTTAGTAGCGCAATTCGAAAGTCGAATTGGTGATTTGGTTTCTGTTATTTCTTTTGATTTGTTCGATGGAGATTTCGGGTTTTCGAAATGAGATTTGACTCTGGTTTCGTATGTTCAGTTGTTTCAGGTGTTCCAACAATGCAGCGGAGTGCTTTGAGACCACCCCCCACGTCTCCATGGATGAGCTTCCCTGCTCTGCTGTCCATTCTCTCAAAGTTCTTGCCTCCAACGAAAATGCAGTTGCTCGTTGTTTGTCACAACGAATTCAGAGTAAGTTTTTATGGAATTTTCTATTTAGCATGTTTAATTTTCATGAATGGCGACGCCTAATTTCGAACTCTCTGGTTATTCATTGTGCTTATGTGTGTTCGATGGATTTACAGGCGAAGAAGATAACACGCCCGCAGCTGATACAGAGAGTGAGGCAGATTGCCGGTGACAGGCTGTTGATTGGAGTGATCAAATCTGTCAAGAGGCAGACTGATGCCGGGGCAAATGCATGACGTTGTTGGTGTAGTTTTTTGTTGAACAACCCTTAGGGCTTTACTTTTTGGATACACAGATTTAGAGATGATTTAGACAGACAAGTCACCACAGGTTTTTTGTTTTTCCAAATGTCGAATATTAGCAAAATTCAAGCCGGTTTCCTTCTTCATTGCATCAAACTCTGCCCTGTAACGAAAAATCAAAATCAAAATATACAGATTGGTTCTCAAAATTGGTGGTTTCTGGTTGTTTCTTCATGTGTAGCAGTGACCGACTTTGAATTGGCAGATACGTGAAGAGCGTAGCAAGTTGTGACCGACTTTGAATTATAGCGGCCCTTTATTGTGTTTGACTTTCGTCGCCCTTGGCCGGCTGAGAATATTAATCAATTGCTTGATCAGCAAGCATAAAAAAAATAAAATGAGAAATTGGTTGCCTTTACATGAAGAAAGAGGAGATGAGGGTAGACAGCAAAAACCAATTAAGAATTGAAGTAAAAAATGAAGATAAAATCGAGCACAATGACGTTCTATGATTCATACCGCTGACGCTACTTAGTGAGATAAGGGTGGTGGTTGTACTCTTTTTTACAAGGCCAGATTGTACAAAATTTGAAAAAGTTAAAAAAGTTGATGTGTAATTGTATAACTTATCTCATTTCCATAGTAGAAGGCCAGATTTATTGACTGTTCAAACAAGCCGAACGGGTTAAGGTAGAACCAAAGATTAGTTTACAAATGAGTTCTTATAATTACAATGACGTATGCCCTCGCCGATATACAACGTGAAGTTTTGTTTTCCTAACAAGAACAAATGTAAATCCTCTTGAATATGGAAAGAAGGCCCGACAACTCCTACTTCTTATCACCCAAAGCACTTAATCGCCTCTCCAGCTGTGTAAAAGAAACAAAACTAAGATCAATATAAACAATGATTAGGGTTTTAAACATCTTCGCACGCTGTTATTATCGAAACACGTTTTTTTTCCAAAACTAACAACCTAAATACATTATTACATCCTATCTCCAATTCAAATTTGCTATTCAGGCATCCGTATAGGAAAAGCATATTAATAGAAGGCGCGCGTAAACAACCAGGGGAAGTCCGGTAATGGGTACAAACCTTGACATTCCTTGTTTTCTGTATCTGCAACTCTTCGACAAGTTTGTCAATTCTGATAAGATTATCAAACAAGATTAGATTATTGAATGGAGCATGCTTCTTGGAAATAATAGAAGAAATCTCGCGCACCTTTGTTGAATACCAATCACATGGGATTCTAAGACTCTCTCTCTTGCAGAAGCCGTACACATCTGCAACAGTACAACAAGATAATCAATATAAGTACGTCTGGACTCTGGTGTATACAAACTGCAGACTAGACCTCATTTGATTTGTGTATCGAACTGAAGTTTGAAAACCACTGTACCGGGTTTTTAACCAGTCAGCTATAATGCACAGGTTCAGAAGCCACATAAAGATCCAATACCTGCAAGTTCTTGATACTGGTTACTGCCTCTGTGATCTCTGTATGATTTCCTGTCATTGAGAAAATTAAAGAAAATACATTAACGTATAAAATACAAGAAAGTCAATTTTAAAAACAAATAAAAAATCTCAAAATACTACTGATAAATGACAGGAGAATCACCACTCACCAGTGATTTGATCTACAATTTCAATCAATCTCATTGTTTCTTCCTGTTAGAATTACAATAATAGTAAGAATACCAAAACATAATTTCTCAAGTATGTGAAAGAAAAGGTTTCAATGTGCACCTTTTGCATGGCGTTTTTCTGCAAAATATAATGGAGCGCAGGAATAATGGAAGCAGATGTACCAATTACAGAAGAGATTATAAAGCCGTTTGGAGTGTCCTGAAGGGAAACATCAATAAGAATTACGACATAAGTGCCAGTGCTTCATAAATATCCCAAAAACAAACAATTATTCAATCAATTTAAAATTTAGAGGAAGAGAAGATGATTGTTTTAAGGTTTACACTGAGAAACACTTATAGAAAGCAAGTTAAAAGTTTTCATATGCATAGTAAAACATCAGTTTTTCCTAATCATCTGCATGTAGATTGTTAAAAGATAACTCATGTTCCATGATAACTTATTACACTAAATGTTATAGGCCAGCACACCTTAGGACTGGAATATGGGACCGTGCTATTGAATCGCCCCTGCAACCCTTGGTCATCTGATGCGGTCTCTGTTAACCCCAGATAAAATTGATAAGAATTTTTCTTATGTTATGACAAAGAAACATTCAATTTCAATAAGGATGTGAACCGATGATATAGATAGAGAAATATAAATACCATATGAAGAACAACTACCATCTCTCTTCTGATGACGTTCTAAGTGATCACTGCTCAAGATCAACAAGTAGATTTGAGGAATCCCTCGGTTAACAAAATCCAGATACTGAATTAGTTTTCTCCAATATCATAGTAAAACAAAAAGGGTAATCAAAATGCAAATCATTAAACTAGTCAACATGATGAATGCACGAAACAAACGTCCATATTGGGGGGGGGGGGGTGTGGGGGTGGGGGTGGGTGGGGGAAGGAAGTTTAGCATGTGATGTTTCCAACCTACGTGTACAAGCATTTGATACAAGTTACATTGACTTGAGATGTATCTGAAACAAGTTACATTCACTTGAGGTGCATGAAGAAGTAATCAAGCAAAGGCTTCATAAACACAACCAAGCAGTGGAAGTATCGCTAAGTGGAAAAATTATGGTTGCTTTGAAACAAGAAAAATATTAAAAGTAATCAGAGTTCTGAACTTGCCTGCCCTCATCACCACTGACAGAAGGGGAATGATCGGTTTTTGAGGAAGGTACTATTCTTTCCAAATCAACACCAAAATAGCCACTCTTTTTTCCTTGCACTGATGGTGATAAATCAGCAATTTCTTCAATTTCCCCAAGGCCAGAATCTTTTCTACTATAATTGAAACTATCCACATGTGCATTAATGGGATCTCTGCATACAACTTAGCACAGTATTAATACTTCCTAAGACATTATAGATTGTGCAGAATTAAACAATTTACGTTTGCCTTTCCCCCCACACACCTTTCTGTCAGACCAGCTGATTTACCAAATCCACCATTCTGTTTGCAGCTCCAGTCTTGGTTTTCAGCAATGGTGATGCCATCATCATCTTGAATCTAAACACAGAAAATAGTATTCATCTGAGTATGAATCACCTTAAGTTATGCAATAAAAAACTCTTAGCCTCTTGCAGACCGTTCCGCAAAGTAAAAAGAAAGACATATACATATTAGAAATGACCTACTCACAATAGCAGCCTGTCTTTTCAAATCATCTACATCAAAATTCCATGCACTGATGCCTCGTATATACTCTTGCTGGAATAAAGAAATTTTTAAATCATATATAAAATTTGAATTTAAAAGAAACAAAATATATACATAACATTGTGAACTTTTGTAAAAGAACTGTTACAAATTAATATTAGTCATTACCTGTGATAAATGGTCTTTGTCACCATAAAAAGACTCACTTTGTGCAAAGAACTCAGCCTCTTTTTCCTGATAAAAAGAAGGCACATCAAAACATGCAATATAGAAAAACTACAGAATAGTAGAACTTTATGAAAGCCATACAAGTCTGAAATGGAATGCCAACCTTCAACATTCTAAAACGATCTCCAAGGGGAGAAAGACCATTAAGAATTGACTCCGCTATAAGCTCCTTTGAATGCACATGTTTGAAGAAACGGTGATTCAAGAGCTTTTCTGCAGTAGGACGCTTCTTTGGATCCTTAACTAAGCAGGCAGCAACTATCTCTTTAAATGACTACAGGTGAAAATTGATTTCAGAGCAGGTTGTAAAAATAGTGACCATATAAAGATTATTACTGGAGTCACACCTTTGAAAATTTCTTGTCCCTCTCATAGTCAAGGCCAGGAGGAGCATTCTGTAAGGTCATTAACAAAACCTACAAAGGCAATAATAATAGGGATACCACATACCAAAAGTTAATAAAAACAATGATTTCCTCAAGAAAAGAAAGGCACTATTTTGAGCTATGTTTCGTGAATAAATAATATAACCATGACCATGTCAATTACCATAAATAAAAATAACACAAACAGGTGTTTAATAAATGTGCATGCACACAATGCAATCTCGGTAAGAATTTTGTAATGTTTGATTTTAATTTTACGAAAAATTCAATAGCTCCATGTCCCATGCAATCTAACTACGAAGAGTAATGAGATTTACCTTCATTGGTGGGTACTTGGAAAATGGAGCATGACCATGAGCAAGTTCCAGTGCTGTTATCCCAAAAGACCAGATGTCTGCTCTGTTTGGATACGAATAACAGACCCCACGAGGATTTGAACGACAAGTTAAAGTTAGAGAAAGCTTAAAGAAATGAAATTCAAGATTATCAAATATACACATCAATAAGTATTCTTCCATGACCAACTGTAAACAAATCATCCACTCACTTAAAGTCATATCCATGCAATTGCTGCATAACTTCCGGAGCCATCCTGTGAAAAAAAGGGGGTCACACTGTTAAATATGAAATGCAAGGAGTTCGAAGACCAACTCGAACATTATATATTTTTGAAATAGTTCCCAATAGTCGATAGACGATATGTAGACAGAGAAGGTCCAGGCCATCACCAGCAAGGAGTTCCAACAAACGTTTTTCTTGCATGTTGTCTGTGGCCAGTGTCGAACAAGCTCGCTGAAACTCCAAAGTCTGCTAACTTAACTGCACCTTTTGTATCAACCAGTATATTACCAGCCTGTAAATAATAGGGTTAAAAAGCTTTAATAAGACACATTTGGTCAAGTTGGCTTTGTAGAGAAAATATACATACATACATGGACTTGTAGTAAATGCAATCAAACATATGGATGATCAAATCTAGTAAACTACTATGTGCCAATACAACCACTCATGGCTAGCCATAAATGTGCATATAGCAACACTTGTATTTAACATTTTGCCCCGATATGCAAATAGTAGTAAGCTAAATCCAAACGGAGAGTCCAAAAAACACCATAAGTTCATAACACAAATACAAGGCTGAGTGCTATTAACATACCTTAACATCTCTATGAATGTGTCCATGGCAATGCAGATAAGCAAGGGCTTTGAGAACCGCATACAACAAAGTCGCGATAACGGGCTGCTCAAAACCATCAGGGTGGGCAGATTTCATGATGTGAAGACACGATCCAGAGGCCATGTAAGGCGTGACGATCCAGAGGCTACTGCCGGCAGTGAAAGAGCAGTGAGCCTTGAGCAGATTCGGATGGTCAAGCAGGATCATGGTCTGCACTTCTCTCCGAATAGCGTCCTGTGGATGCAGGGTGAAAATTGCAATTTACAACAAAACTGGGGGAAGTGTGCAAGATAAAAACCAAAAAATGGAAAGGGAAGTTGAAGAGGGAGTGGGGAATGAAAAATACCAAGTCGTTCCCGCATTTCTCAAGGTCGAGGACTTTGATAGCGACGGTTTGATTAAGTGGAATGCAGAGAGCTCTGTAGACGGTGGCGCTCACGCCCTGACCAACTTCTTCGTACAGTTTGTAGTCTTTTGGGTTCACCGGAAAGTCCTTTTTGGGTAAAAATTCCATGGCTTTTTTAACTGTAGTAGTACGTCATCAACAATCAAAACCCCTCCTGCTTTTGCTCCCTACAAAATTAAAAATCACACAGATAAAAAAAATATAAGATAAAGCTAATTAATTTGCAAATTAAACCCAATAATAAAGCAAACTCAGTGATTAAAATGGTGGAAAAAAATGCAGAAGTAGAAGATTACAGCAGGAAGCCCTGGAAGGCTGCAACAAGGTGACAGAGGAGGAAGACGAAGAAGAAGGAGAAATGGGCGGGGATTAAAATATGCAGAGAGATGAATCCAATGACTTGTTTCGACGAATCCGCCAATAAACTCGAAACTCCGTGAGGGTTTGTCCCTTTGTGCTTCCTCCTCAAAGCCCTCACTCGCCCTTTCCGTGACTCACCTTGCTTTGGTGCAATCAAAAGATATTTCTGAAGGATATTTTATATTCAAATCAATCAGAGTCAGAGAGACTACCAGTGGAGGGTTTTTTCCTTTTTCAGATTTGTAGATTACGACATATCATATATACTAAAACCCGTAAGGGTTGGTCACTGTGGATGACCAGTGGACTTCCCATTTTGTCCTCGCCCATTCTTCTTTTATTTCAACTTTGCCCCTTTTGCTTTCTATATATACTAAAGCTCACGGATTGGCACTGTTCATTAACAGTGCCCACCCGGTTTAGTCCCTCACCTGCTGAGCAATTGTTTGTCCTTTTCTAGAATTGTGCAGTGAGTTGGCCATTTTGTTCTTTCCGCTTTCTGGTGCCGTTCTCCATCATCCGCGGTTCTTTGCTTTTAAAAACCCAAACAATATTTTTATAATTTTTTATCCTTTTTGGCGCCACAAACTATGTGGCTGGATTTAACTCCTGACAACTATAATTATTTGTTTTGTCCTGCAGTCTATTTGTTTATCATTTTTTTTGTCCAAAAACCAATGTGTTTATCCATGGGGTAGAACAATTGATGATTGTTTTGTTTATTATATATACATAATTGTTTTTCTCAAGAACTCCCTCACCGACTGTTGCAGCTCTCTCTGAAAGTGGATTTTCTTTTTTATGCATGTTATTATTTTATTTCTCTCTCACTGTTTTTTTTCCATTTGAGAAAGAGGCAAGAGGAAAAGGGGGATGCCATTGCCATTGTCTGGTGGCAGCAATGAAGGCCCATTCCTCGAAAAAGGGATAATAAATGCAAAGTGGCAGAGAAATATACATACATGTGTGTGTATATACTAATACTCAACAAGATGAAATTACTGTTCATTAACAGTAAGCGGACGAAATTGCCCTCCAATTCATTTGTTATCTGCCCTTTTTTCCTTTTTTTAACAGTAAAAAGACGACTTTGCCTTCCATCTCCACCTGTCGATCACTCCTCAGCTTCTGTCATTTTCAATGGCATAAATGCCCTCTGTTTCTTCTCCATTATGCCGTTTGTCCACGCGTCGATCATCGCTCCACATCGACTACTTCTCGACCTTTCTTCTCTACTTTTCCCTCCGTTCCACTTTTCTCTCTCACAATTCCCTGCTTCTGTCGCTCTTGAACCTCGATTCCTTTCGCTCTCCAAGGCTACCTTCTCTCCCTTTTCCACCGTGCGATCTTTGTCTCACAAGTTACCAACCGCACTTTCTTGCTAAAAAACCTTCACTGCTTTCTCTGTTGCTAGAGGTTGCTTTCTCTTCTGCTCTCGCAGGGCCTTCAGTTCTCACTTAGATTCCAGAGTAGAAGCCCAGAAAGCTAATATGGCAAAGCGAGAGCTTTCCAGCACTCTCAGGAACTTAAAAGGTGAAAAGAAACGATAAAATTTTGGTTTTTTATTTATTGTTAGTGTTAATTTCTGATTAAATTATTATTTTTGATAAACCCTTTTAGAATCTGATCTAGGTTTTGCTTAAATTCATCTTGGTGTTGTTTAATTTTGAGTTATATAATTTTCTGGTGGACCTTTAATTGTATTTACAGATTAATACAACGTAATTGGGTTATTTTTTTAAGTACTGTAGTTTATGCAAAGAGCAACTTAGAAGGAGGTGAAGAAAGAAGATGTCAAACCATAACTTATCACCTCAGGTACCTTTTAGACCTATTGCATGTCAAAATCAGCTTCAAATTTGTGATTTAATATAATTGAATTTTAACAAGTTTTTAGTGATTTTGTAGAATTTTACGTTTAATAACCAAGTGGATTACTTTACTTGGTTGGACCAGTTTTTATAGCTATATTTCAACCTTTCCTCTGATAGCTTTTAACGATTGGATTTCTCGAGTCTACTTTCCATGCTTTGACCATTTCATTTGGCAGAGGGTTCTGGGTTTTGGAGAATTCTTCATTAAATTGGTGGGTTTGTAGAATTGTACCTTTATATTTCTGGGTTTGGTTTTATGTCAGTTTAATAAATTTTTTTAGGTTTTGCAGAATTTTTTGTGATTAAATTTCTGGCTTAAGTAGCGGTTTTTGAGGTTGTGGTCTCCAAAAAAAGGTAATTTTTACATTAATTCTGTGAAAATTTGTACATATCAATGTGTTAGAATATTTAAGGGAATTTAAAATAAAATATGGTATTGGTATTGGTGGGGACGATGTATGGGAATTTTTCAAGGATTATTGGAATCTCATGGTAAGGAGTGATGTAGAAACTTATAGCTGCAGCAGTTGATGCAGGTTTCCTTTCTATGAACCTGATTTTGGATGGGGAAAGCCACCATGGGTGACTTCAGGTACGGAGTTCAAGAATCTGATTGTGTTAATGGATACACGAGATGAAGATGGCATAGAAGTATCCTTGAATCTCAAGGAAGAAGACCTGGCCATATTTGAAAGCACTAAGGAGCTGCTTGAGTATGCATCTTTAAATCCAACTGTAATTTTGTTTAGTATTGTTGAACCTTTTATGATCTTTCATTGTTTTGTTTCTTGCTTCTATTTTTCTTAGGTGTGTGCTAAATTGGATGTTGGTTTGGTTGTTTCCAATCTTTCCCCAGGACTTTCGATACCCAATAGAGAATATGAAAAACCCAACTTTAATTTTGTAAATTTATTGTCCTAAATGAAGGTAACATGGGAATTTGTTCTGAATGGTGTTCAAAGAACTTCAAACTCAACTTTGTCCTGAATGATGATCTGTTCTCTGGATGTCTGATATCAATTTTTTATTTGCTCAGAGTGATCTGATTTACATCTTTTGCTAGGGTGGTAATGTGCCTCCACCATTCAATTTATTTGAATCTACTGGTCTCCCATATGAGATTCAGAGGTATGGAATTATTCTTCTGTTTTTGTCTCTTTTGTGTAATCCTGGTAAAGTTACCTGAGTGTTTTGTGCAAAGTTATGTGATTGCTAGAGGTCCAATGTTGAGTTCCTCTTAACAATTGAGCCCTTTTTGTCACTATTCATATTGCAGGTTTTGAGCTTCCACAAATTTCAAGGCGTTCAAACTTTACTCTCGAATGAAATGGTAATTAAATTTCTTAAAATTATAGTTTATTACTATAAAAGATAAAGACTTATTTTCTCAGCATTGTAATCTATGTATGTTTACACGTTATCCAACTTGCTTCTACAAAATCAAAATACTTATATCCACCTACAAAATTCTGTTGAAGAAGTGAGATTTTTAAACTGCAGTTTTTCTTTAATTATTCACAAATGTATGTACAAGTTAACGAAAAAACATGTATGCTTTTTTGGTGAATTTAATTTGAATTGTTAAATTTTGGTAACAAAAAAACCTATGATAAATTAAAAGACTATCATTAAATAAGATTTTCTGCTCAGTGTACCTCTATATAATTCTATTTGAACTCACATTTTTTTTTTAATTTAAATTTTATTTCTCTGCATAGTCTGGAAAAATTCTGCTTTCCTAATCATTTCACACAATTTTGTTTAGTTTTAAAAGTTTTGCTATAATTTTCTCTGATGAAAGGACATTCTGTGACAAAAACCAGGATCAATTTGTTTGCAGCTTGAAGATTTTTACTTTCACCAAGTTTATCTTCAACTCCAGGTATTTTCTCCCATTGACAACTTAAAATCAACTGAACTGCACCTCTATACTTGCATAACTCTGTTTTTCTCTCCTCCTTAAATTCATATATGGAGATAGGAAGTTTAAGAATCTTTGTTCCTGCTAATAGGTTTAATAATAGTGACATTTGAATGATCTTTGTTTCCAGGAAAATGATTTTAAAGAATTGTAGCTGTGATTCAGAAAATAGTTAGATTTTTTAAAGCTGACACAGGTTTTTATGAATATCAGGCTTTGAAATACAATGTTGTTCTAGGCTGTCATCTAGATTCCCAATCACATGTTTCCACGGTGGTTTCAAAGAGGTCCTTGAGACGATCAGATGTTGTACTCAGCAGCCACCATTATAATAAGGTTAGGTGTTGAGGTTTTTCCTTAACTTATTTTTCTCTTGGAATATGAAACCCTATGTTTTTCCTGCATGTTGGTACATGTAAATAACACAATGGTTCATAATCTTTTATTTAGAGTTTAATAAATATGATAAAAGTGGATCATAATTTTTACAATAACCTAACATGGCTATTTTTGAAGGTAAGACCGAGCGTCATTCTCTTGGTCACTAGATGCCTTGAGAATTTATAGTCACTCACCCAACTTGGGATTTGAGTAATCATGAATAACTCGATTTTGTGTTACTATGTGATGCGGTGGTGAGAGGACTTTGGTATGGGAGGGAGGACTAGAGAGAGATGTTTAGATTTGAGAAGGGTAATTGGTATTGAAAATTGAGATGCCTATATACCATGGCAGGGTCGGTTCCAGCTTTTTCTTTTCCTTGGTATGCATTATTTGTCCCTTTCTTTTAATTTGTTAGTTTAAATTATTCCTGCAATTTTGTATGAACTATGTGTGTGTAGTGATAGATTGTAAGGTGATTGAGATTTGTGCAGGTAATTACTATAAATACAAATGGATGGTGCATACAAATTACTATAACTTCAAGAAAAAACAAAACAGACCCAGATACCAATTCACTTCAGTCCTCAAACATCTCGATCCATTCCAGCTTTTTCTCTTCCTTGGTATGCATTATTCCTCCCTCTCTTCTCTTAATTTTTTCTTTTTGTTTAATTATTTCTGGAATGTTGGAACCTGAATTTCCAGAATTATTGTGATTTTGGAACTCTAATTTGGGATGCATGTAAATGAAAAGTCTTATATATTTGGTCTTTACTTACAACCTCTCTCTGCTCTTTTTCTCTCTCTCCAAAACTCAAATTTGAAGTTGTCATGCATTTTTTTTTTTTTATTATCACTGTCACCTTTTGATTTGCCTTATGGTTTTATCATCGTACATCATTAGTTGACTACTGTCTTTGTTTTCTTCTGCAGCATGGAGAGCTGTACAAGGCACTTTCTGCAATTTATTGCAAAATAATGTCAGTTATCCCTTCTTTGGATACAACTCAAACTGGGAGCAAGTCTGGTATCCAAGCTTTACGTTCGTTGCATGTAGCACATGAAAAGTCTTAAGAATGTAGTAAGCTTTATTTGGCAGGTATTCCCTCAATAGTTAAGGAAACAATTATTTTCCCCTTTCTGCTTTGAAGAAATAGAATTCTCTTTAGATGTTTACATTTGTTTCATTCATGATGAGGTTGTGTATAAATTGCATTTGCATTTGTAACTCAGTTTTTGACTCGAACATTGTTTATAAAGATTGCAGGTGCATAATCTTTCATATAATTTTCAATCCCGCAGCAACGCGCGGGTGCAAATTCTAGTACTATCACTAATTCAGTATTTAACTGCCTGCAAGTTAAAAGATTTTAAGTGTTATTTTCGTGAATTGTGATTTGAGAGTTCCGTACTGCATTATTATGGAATTGGATGCTCTCCTGAGTTTGGGCTCAGAGCCTGACCAACACACAAATAATGATTAACCAATCCTTGTATTTTAGTTAAGAGGTTGTTGAGCCGGAGTTCAGGAGAAGATTCAATTCCTATTATTATGACAAGTTTGATGTGCAATTTAAGTTTAAATTTCTTTTATATATAATGATGTATTTTCTCTTCAAGGGAAGTATGGCTAAGAGGAGAAATTAGCGTTTCAATCAGAAAAAAATGAGTTCAATAGAATATCTTAACTATTAGAGTAATTCACTAATTGTTGATTTTTACTTCCTTCTGATAATTTTAAAGTGAGACTTGTTCAAATATCTTTATAAATTTATTATTGTATTTTTTTTTTTGTCAAATAAATAAATTATTTTAATGGAAAAAAAATTGTTTGCAGAACAATATATAAATAAATTACCTGAAAGAAAAACAATAAATAAATTGTCAACAAAAATGGAGAAATGCTGTGTTTAGTGAAGTATTGGGGCTCCAGCTATTAATTAGATTAGACAAGTGCGCGCGTAATTGTTTTCTTCAGGCCTTTCGTTCCCGAACTTCCCGCCTCCTGCGATTTCTTGATTATTGGGCCCAAAATGATTAAGTCATATTCGGCCTGTCTTTCATTTACCCAGCCCAATTTTATAGCCTGTTTTGGTCAAACCGTCTTAAGTGCTTCTTATCTGGAGATGTCGATTTGCACATAAAGGATTCAAATAAAGAAATTAACGTTTGAGTAATATTAATCTGATTAGATGGCGTCTGTCATAAGCAAGGTTTTAAAAAACGCTAAGCATTAGTCAGATGGCAGGCTGTCGCTTAGCGTCTAGGCTACTAGGCAGGGTCTAGGCAGGCGCCTAAGCGGATTTAAGTAAATTTCTTGTATATCTTGTAAATAAGTTCATATTGACACTTACAAAAAATTATACTTGTATGAAATTCATGAATAAGATAATAAAATGCAAAAAGAGTATCAAACAAGTCCAAAATTTAAGAACACATTAAGCATATATGCCATATAACCATATTGATGAGTATTGTAGGATGATACATGTACAATAAGTTCACAATTTAAAACCACATAAAATGCAAAATATGAGGAAAATAAGGAAATATAGTAATGTAGATAGGATTTTTTTTCTAATTAAAAAAAAAAAAAACTACCTAGCACTGCTAGCCCGCCTAAAGCCTAACCAATTTGCAAGAAAACACATCAGATCACCACTGCCCAACGCTTAGGTCGTTTTTTTAGAACACTAGTCATAAGTCATTGAAAAATGATATTTAGAGCACAAAATTGCTTACTCTTAATCACTACACGGCAGCTTAGGGGCTAGGGATGAATATCATACCCGATTTTACACGGCACGTCCTGAGTTCGATTTATAGCGTCAGTGAATCATACGATAGTGACTAGAAAAAGAATGAAATGTCTTTGTGAGTCTTCCTAGTCCTTGAAATGATGGATTGTCATGGCGAAGTCATCAGCTAGTCCTTTTACAAAAAAAAAAAAAAAAAAAGATCACCTCCCTTATATATATGACTCTCACATAGAGTGATGGATTTACATGTGGTCAACAATGTGATTAGTTTTTTATGACCAATTGTAAAAGAATGGACTCCAACCCTGGGTGCGGAATATGTTATAGTCTAGCAATTTTTTTGATATATATATATATATATATATATATATTACTAGATATACGGTTGGACTACCGGTGAGGACAATAGTTAAGAGATTCGACTATAGAAACTCTTTCAAGTTTAAAAATTAAAAAAATGAATATCACTAAACTAATATACAATTCATAAACTCCTAATGGATGTATGAAACCAAGCTTAGTAGCTTAATAATTTAATTTCTTGTAACACATTTTTCTGTATGGAAGTTGGGTATATAGCTGTTTAGGTTCGGGCCCAAAATAATATTATTGGGGCGAGTGTGGATTTATGTTCGACTCAAAGTTTTTCAATATACTATGGCCTACCTGGTGGTCCTAAGCCGTTCAGCAAGGATGGTCGAATCCTATCTCAAGAAGGAGTAGTTCGGATGAGCGAAGGGGTCGAAGAAGTCCTGATACGATAAAGGGTCTTAGTGCAATTTGGATTCTCGACCAGCAATGAATACGACCTTAAAAATGGGTGAGTTCAAAGTCCTAATAGGAGTAGGATTGGTCGAAGTGGAGTTGGAACAGAACAAGAAGTCCCAATCCAGGTATGATTTTGACTTGATCCCAAGGAGGATTTGGTGCTATAAATACAAGACATCATGCAACAATCAAGGCCATCCAATTGAACACACAATTGCCCTGCGCAACGCTCTCAAACAACTTGAGATTTTTCATTTTTCTTTTTCCACCAACACACCTTCAGTTTGGATAAATAACACTGTGAAGGCAACCGATGAACATCTTCAGTTTGGATAAACAGCACTGTCGTCGTAGAATCAACTGACCGCGAAACACCTTCAGTTTGGATAAACAGCACTGCATCGAGGCCGACTGATTACCTATCCAAGTCTCGGTTGAGAAGTGTTTCCGAATCCTTATTGGCAGAGGTCATCTTATTAGCCTTCTCAGCGAAGTAAGGTGTTACGAGTTACGACATTCGGCGCATTAAACGCTGAGTGATTTTATGATTAGATACTCCAAGTGAGTTTCAAAGTTCGACATTTTGACGGTCGAACCATATTTACCAAACACACGTCACCTTTGAATATTTGTGTTCATATAGTCTGGTGTCGATTCGACGTGTTTATACTCTCACGAATATAATCACTGTGACTGAATCCGACGCCGATGATTCGTTAACTTTGCAGAACCAACAACCTTGTCTTCAGGCTCGAGAATCCAAAGGCTGAGATTTGTTCCTTCATCGGCCTGCAGTCGCAAGATAAACAAGTCAGCAACGTGCTCAACGCAACGTCAACAAATTTTACTCCTCTGCCGACGAGTTGGCACACCCCGCATTCAATCGAAGGACGTAGTTACCTTATTAGTTACTCGACTTGCGCATCACGTAGATTTTGTAGTTTTTAGGGTCAACAATAGCCAAACTTATTTCTAATTTTCCTGGACAATTTGCAATTACTTAATTCATTTGCTTTTGTTGAAACAAGATGAACAATTTGATTTCTTCCCTTTTTGTGGGCGTATATTGCTACGAAAACGTGTGAGGAATGTCAATTCAATTTCCATGGATATCCGAATCTTCTTTTTTCATCCTCGCAGAAAAAAAAATGTTGACCGTAGGATTCTGCTCTGCTGCGCCAAACCAAGGGCGACAATAACGTGGGCCAAGTTTGTGTTTTGGAATGAGGATCCTCTTCAAATTCTTTAATCGTGTTCATTCATCGTACATTATATGGTTATAAATCATTTAAAATTGAATACAAATAGTGTTTGACGAAAAATTACCGAACAGTTTATGACAAACGGACACGATTAAAGGATATCGTGAATCCTCACAAAGAGGATTTGGAGATGATCCTCATTATGTGGTTTGTTTGTGTGCGCTGTATGTGCTTGGTACGACCAACGAAATAGTAAACGGGCATCAACTAATCCAGAAAGTCGAATTTGAGGAGGGGGTTTTATACTTTTATTGCCTGGGTCGCAAGTCTCCTACACATGAAGGATTAAGGAATAATGACCCAGTCGGTTCAAACTTAAATATTTTATCTGTTAATACACCATTAATTAAGTGCTTAGTGAGTTGTTCCTTGTTCCAATATTGTTTAGTGTTGACAACTTGAGAGACGCATACTAGCTAGGTACAACAAGTCTTCGGTATCCTGTTTAGAATTCTTCAACTTGTAAGAATGCGAGGATATATTATATAAGTTTAACAAAATTAATGTTTCATTATAAAATTCATTAACAACATAAGAAGTAGTCTAATTATTTATAAACATATGTAAATTATGATGACGTTACTTTGTCGTTGATGCATTGAGCAGTTATAAAAATGATGTATATATTGTTTGTCAAAACAAGATTAACAAGCTAAAGATGAGAACAAGTGGGGTTTTGACTTGTCCTGCGAATTCCTCTCGTGACCAGAAAGAAAGTCAGAAAGCTCAAAAACCTTAGTCCATAAGGGATAAGGAGTAGATAATTATAAGCAAGTATCCATCTAGAAGGAAAAGAATTTCAAACATATATATATATATATATATATATATATATATAAGGAATTATTATTAACATTTCAAAAATCTCATTTTGCACTCTAAATTTTCTATAATTAGAAAGAAAAATACACTTATGAGAAGTGTATAATGAAATTTGTGAAATGCTAATAACAATTATATATATATATATATATTACACAAAATAAATATTTAAGGCAATATCACGTGCTAAAGATAGTAAGTCATCACCCTATTAATTTCTGTTAAGATAAGTTAGGACTGAAATTCCAGAAGAAACTGATAATTCATGCATATATATAATCCAAATACATATATATCGATGGGAAAATGTTATTCTGTCGGACTCATGTGATTAGGAACCACTAGTTTTTCTTATGATTTAATAAAAACTGAATTATTATGTAATATGCAAATAATCAATGCTCATTTAATGAAATTTTTAAATGACAAATATACCCATATATGTTTTACAAAATTACAATTTTCCCCCTACATTATTGTTTTTGATAATTATTGTATCACATTAATACTATATCATTTTTAATCATTTAACATATTCAAAACAATTTATATAAAAGTTTAATAAGTACTGTTTTTTTTTTTTTATTAAAAGCATTTTTACAAAAAAAATTTACCAAATACAAAACAACTTTATTTTACATCTATTTATTCTTACAGTACAGTAGAAATTTTTTATTTTTAAGACCACAACAATACCAAACTAGCCCTAATACAATTGTTAATTCAGGTATTGATGCGAAGATGGATGGAAAATAACAGATAAGATTTAGGGACAAGGATTGTCTGCCCTCCCACTTTCAGTGCCCTCCTATTTTGTATGGTCATGGTTAAACCACGTCAACATTTTATATTGTTTTTTTTTTTATAGAGATAATAAGATAAAAATAAATAATAATATAAAATATTAACGTGACTTAATCGTGATTACACAAACAAAAAAATGTCGGAAATGAAAGGGCAGGCAATTCTTATCCGAGATTTAGGCACCCCTTAACCTTTATTCTATTTTCTATAAGATTATCAGATTCTTATCCACCTTTTACTTTTCGCTTTTTTCAACCAGCTCACAATTTGGACTTTTCCACTTTTCTTTCCCCCACGATACTTTCTGCCCAAGTTCCAGCCACCTCAACGAATCCTACCAAATATATTTTTCCTTGGGCCCTTTTTCAAATACTAAAAGATCCAACCAAAAAACATGAAAAATAATTTTATTTATTTATTTTTTTTTTGTTGCTGTTCGATAAGGAGATAAAGGTGAAATCCCTGAATTGCCATGCAACTACAAGTCACAGCCCCAATCACATGAGCATTTAGTACTTCGCCCATGACATGTCTCTTCCTCCTGCTCCCCAACCCACATCTTTTTAATATCTAATTCACTGCAGCGCAATTTATTATTACGAACTAGTGATGTAAGTTAAAAATTTTAGGTTCGATTCTCATTAAAGGTAAATTTAAACCATATTATTACTAACTCTTTGTGAGACTTAGTTCACTTCTCATATAGATAATATCTATTTTTTAAGAGGAAAAAAAATCCACTACAACCCACCCCACGATACACCTCATTGACTTTCTAATCTCCCTCCCCAAGCAAGTCAACCCCATCCCAAGCACATGACTAAGTAGTGAATTGTTACGATCCTTAAAAGTTTTATTTTACAACTTACTACACTACCTCTTGCGTTCACGTTTTTCTTCTCTTTTTAATATCCATCAAAATTGTCAGTATTACGGTATAGTGATACTTTTATAAGTGAGAGATTTTAAGTTGGTATTTCTGTAAGCAAGAAGTTTTAAGTTAAATTATTGTCAAAGGTGAATTCAACTTAAATTAATATGACTAGTCTACTCCCTAATTTTTTAATATAGATAATATCGTATCTATTAAAATATCCACCAAAATTTAGGAAAAAAATATTAATGAGACTCCTTATAAACTTGATGCCACTTATATTTGTAATATAATATTTCATAATATTAACACAATAGTTAATGTAAAATTATAATTCATGATCGCTATAAATCAAAATTACGGTCGTCAAAATTAATTTCAATGGTCCGCATAACAACAAATGATTTACTGACACGTAGTACAGAGCCCTTTCCCCTAGGTTCGACGAAATTCACAAGTGGCTGCTCCAGACATCATCCGCGTGGTAATAAACACGTGCACCGTGTGAATCCGAAGCTCCCATGTCCGAATGCCCCAACGACCGTCAAAAAGTCGTCACCCGCCAATATTGCCCCACGGCTTATATATAAGCCACCCCCAGCTGGTGTCATTTTCCACCGCCAAGTACAAACCATATCTTTCAAACTTTAATTAATTTCATCATCTGCCTCTCTCTCTCTCTCTCTCTCTGTCAAGTCTCAACTTCAAAAACCCTAAATTCTCGATCGAACAAAATTGAAAATGCAAGCGGTTTCCGTATTTTCCGTGTCGCCGAGCTTCAATTCCAACGATTCCGTGAACGATTTCGAAGCCGAATACGCGCAGCTCTCTGCGAATTTCAGCTCCCAGCTCCAAGTCACCGGTTCCGGCGGCGATTTTGAATTCGAGGACGCTGAGAAGGCAGAAATGGAATATAGAGAGGCTCAAAGCGTGGACCATGGCGGCGAATGCGAGAGCGAAAACGAAGACGATTTCTCTTTCGCCCCCACCAACGCCGACGGTTCGCCGATTTCCGCGGACGATATATTCCAAAACGGCCAGATCCGGCCGGTATTTCCGATTTTCAACCGAGATCTTCTCTTCGCCGAAGCGAATGACGGCGATGCTTCCAGAGCCAGAGCGGCCTCGTCTGCAACTTCGTCCTCGTCTCTAAGGCCGCCGTTGAAGAAGCTCTTCTTCGAAGAGCGGGACACGCAGCCGTCGTCGGCGTCCGAGTTGGACGAGCTCGAAGGAGTCCAGGAAGGAACGTTCTGCGAGTGGTCAAGGAAGCCGGTGGAGGCGGCGCCGGAGCTCCGGAACAAGAGCAATTCCACGGGATCCTCGAAGCTGTGGAGAGTCAGAGACTTGAAGCTCCGGAGCAACAGCGACGGCAAAGACGCTTTCGTCTTCCTGAACCCTAAGTCGGCGGCGAGCCCGAAGCCGAGCCAGGAATCGGCGGCGGATGGGAAGAGCAGCGCTGAGATTCAAAAGACGGCGGAGAAGGTAAAGGGGAAGGCTAAGAAAGTTGAAACGGTATCGTCTGCGCACGAAAAACATTACGTGAAGAACAGAGAGAAGAAGGAGGGGGATAAACGGCGGTCGTACTTGCCGTATCGGCCGGTGGTTGGGTTCTTCACCAATGTGAACGTATTGAGCAGAAACGTTCATCCTTTCTGAGGGATATACCGGTCATTAAATTTTGTTTAGTTTCTTTTGGGTTGTTTAATTGTTTAACTAATTTATGTAAATTATTTTTGATAGCAAAGTTGTGTAAATTATTGGGAACGGAGAAAACGAAATCTTTTGTTTTGGGGTGGTTGATGATATGAGAGACATTTTTTAATATAACCGTCACACGAAGTAGTATATCACGCGTTTTTATATAAATAGTGGAATATGTGTTTTAAAAAAGTTAATAACTTAAAAATTAAAAATTTTCACTATTTACATAAAAATATGTGGTGTAATATTCATGTTCCGTCACAACTAAAAATTTCCCAATGATATTATTAGGAACGCACAATCATTTATAATTTTATATTGTATTGAGCTGATAATATTCTTTTCTCTTTCAAATGTACAAGAAGAAATGATGAAATCATTAAATGAAAGAAAAATTCTCATCAACATAAAAACCTTCTCTGGATCTGCAACCACAACTTCCAATTTAATTTTGGACTTTCTTAACTTTTCAAAACGTGTTGATTTAAAATTTAATTTTGAGCTCTTTTAATTATTTAAAACGTGTCAATTTGTCTCAAGTCGAAACAAAGTATTAAGTTCAAAAGATTTCCATAGAAAATTCCCAAATGAAAATCATTGCTAAATGATGATGATCCTAGAAGTCAAAGCTTTGATGTAAGCCCAAACATGAAGAGCAATTTACATGTAACAATGCATTGTCATATGTAAGAAAAACTTGCAAAGTCAATATATTATTAGACTCCTGCCACATAATACTATGGTCTAGTGATATTCTTCTTCACTTGTAAGTGAAAAGTTTCAACTCTTTCCAAAAGTAAATTTAAACCACATTATTGCTAGTCTATTATGAAACTAAGCCTATTTCCCTCACCCTTAATATAGATTACATCGTGTGCTAAAAAAAAAAAAAAAAGATATATATATATTATTGGGCTACAAAAGCATGATAAAAAGCCTTTTTAAAGCCCATGGAAGAAGACATTATGCCAGCAAAAACATAAAGGGAAATGGTACTAGTTGTCCAGTACCTGCCCCTACAAGGCCGGAGAGAAACCATAATTGTGTGTGGACGGCTCCATAATAATACAGCGTGGACCACCACCGACTCTGGCAGCCAGCACCATTATTGTACTTGAACCCAGCGTAAAAACTCCCACAGCCAACCCGGCAGGGTTAGTTGAAGCTTCAAAATGCTAATTATTGAGCATCAAAACTCATACGAGAGATGCTCGAGTCTCACCGGTTGCATACAGACTTGTGTCTATCTCTTTTATTCCATTACAAGCAACAGCCTGATGAAATACCGCATTTGAAAGCTTCCCTTTCTTTGATTAGGAACATATACGAAATTTGTTATCGTGTGACGAGAGAAACTGATACATAATTATTATACAACGGGTAAAAAGTTAAAACAAGAAGTTCAGAATAAAAGAGAAACATTTGACCCACCACCAGTTGATCTTCAAGCATTGCTGCATCTTCTCTTCCTTCGCATCCTTAATTTCAAAACGTTATTTACAGTTTTACACTGGTTAATTATGCAGATACATTTTTACCGTTCGTTACCTATATTACATATTACTGTCACGGTAGGGTTTATCTGCATTATTATGTCATACAAACCTTATCTAAAGCTCTGTTCCAAGGGTTCACTGTGCCAAATTCTTGCAAATTCTAAACAGGCATTATGTCAACGCAAGTCGAAGATTTCGAACCTCAGATTTGAATTCTTGTATACATTAGAGCAGTGCTCGAAAACGGGACTCCCGTCAGTTGTTTCTCCGTGAGGATGAAATCCTTGCTCCTGGCACGCTTTCACGACACTCATCCCGCCAGGATCAGATAGCCGAAATATTCCATAGCTCCTGGAGAAATCCCAACACAAATTTGTTAACATGGCTGTGTAGAAAGATACTAGGAAAATATATTATTTGTACAAACTTCGATTGCTACCCTTTATGTAGCGTTCTTAGAAGTATACTCGAGCTCTCTCTTAGTTATCTGTATTTTTGGGCACTATGACTTACATTTTGAAACATTTTCGGTACAAAATATGAACCATGAGATATTCATGCAGATGCAGTTGGATATTCAACTGGAATACTTAATTAGTTCTGCAATGGAGTTCTTATTTCGCTACCAATGCGGTTTGGCGTACCGGTCACATTTTCAAGGGGAAACTGGTGAACAGATACCCTTTCAAATTACTGCATTCTCTCCTTCATTCCCTTTTATGCTTGTTTGTGACAACTGACCGAAATTTTTATGTCAGTGTCAGAACGTCAGTGTGGCATGGCCGTGCATAATAAAGACTCATGACCACAACAAAGGGTGTTACCGTTCTTAGTGAAGAATGAAGATGCTACAAGAACAAAGGCAAGGACAAAGACCGAGGGAATGGACGACAGCATCTAAAGCTTGTGGGCCGAAATATAGATGGAAGGAGATTGAACATTTAAGACTTGACTCTTACCGCTACTACAATGAAATTGCCAAATTTTGTTTAAAGCAGAACGACTGAACCTTGTAATTAGTGTTGCAGCATACCTTGAGGTATCAGTTGGAGCCATGACAATGGCAAAAGCCTCAGGTATCATAACCTGAAGACAAAAGTTGGAAAGAGAAAAGTTAAAAGTTGTCGCATATGACAGCATATCGAGGAACCAGATTAACATGTTACCCATAGTCCCTAATTGAAGCAGACAAAACCACACCCAAGAAGGCAATTCAGCATTTCAGAACAAGCCAACATGGGAAATGGTATGAAGTTCATAATGTTACTGTATCTAATTTTAAGTTCTTCTAACCTATGTATGCCTAACGTTGAAATTCAAATATTTTATCTTAAACAATTGCAAGAAAATAAAATTCTAAGACTATATAAATTTTGCAACTAAAGAATGGAAGCGGTTCCCCAACCTGATACGAATAATGAGTGTGCAAATCCACTGATGACATGAAACAACGTTGAGAAGGATGTGTCTGAAAACAAATGGTTAACAAAGTGAACAAGAAACTGTGGTCAATTATAGAGCGACAAAGGAGGATGCAAGCAGCAGAAGAAAATAAAATTATGACCTACATGGATCCATCCAACCGGAAAAAGTGAGTGTTCGTTTTGTATGGCAAAAGCTTCCTCATCGTTAGTTGCCTGACACTGTCATATTTTGTAGTCATAAGAAAACAGAAATGAGATCACACCATGTGGTTAGACGCGGCATGGGCAACAGGAATGGTCTTAAGTCCAAACAAGATGAGTAAAGGGCTGTAAGGACTTACAGAGCTGGAAGTTGATTCCTGTTTGGGTATGATCAGAGTTGTCACATAGAATGTTCCATTTTTCTATACATACACAGAAAAAAAAATTATACATTACTTTTCAAGGAAAGATATCATATACCATTGTGAATGTGTACATATGGACTAAAGGACTAGAGTAATCACACCCGTACTGATTTTGAAATTGCAAATGGTGAGAAACTGAGAGAGATTTGGGTTACTTTAAACAAGATTTGGAGACGGAAGAAAAAGTCTGAAGATCTGAAGATAGTTTCAAATGCAACAAACAAACGCTTTTAGAAACAATGCACAGTGTGAATCTTACAAGAAAAGCGCCAAGAATCCCGCAGGTTTCTAGATCCTTCTCCGTGTTTTCTTTAGCAAGATCAAGGAAATCTTCCATTAACCGAGCTGACTGAAAAAATAAGTATAACAATTAATTATCAAATATCAATGCTCAATGCAGAAAAAATAGTTTGCACGAAACACATAAAACTACAAAACAAAAAGCCAGCATTTGAAGTAAGTTTTTACAATATGTACATCTCGCAGGACCCCAGATGATGCTGATTTATTAGAAGACTGTGATTGACCATGTTCTGTATTTGCGTCCATAACTTGTGATATATTAGAACTTTGAGGCTTTTCTGTGCAAGAGATTACAGGTGAAGGAGAGCATTTAGTAACAGAATGAACTGTGATATTCTGATAGTCACTAGTTGTCTTCAAAAAGTTTGGACCAGGAAATTTACACGCGAAGCAACTACTGCCAGATTCCACTGAACACAAAGATGACAACCTAGGATTTTCCCCATCGATGCCCCTGGCGCTGTATAAAAAAAGGGAGATGATATAATAATCCTAAATTAACAAAATCTCCGTAAAGATGTTAACTTTTGCCAAATTGTGAACGGTTCGCTGAAGTGGATATACTTCTTGATAGGAATTACTATACCTTATATGGTTTCTCTCTGCCATGGCTTTTTATACCGAGTGAGAAACTGCAGTCACTATTATTCAAACCAATTTGAAGCTACAAAAAAATTAAGAAAGATGATTTCCCTAAAAAAAACACCAACTCATTATTTGAAAATAAAAAGTTTTGATTGAAACATAATTTGAAAACTGTTCTTCCTGATGCAAACACCATTCCGGACACCTCATGTCTATGATGCACATATCACCCAGTTCAAAGTACATACAGTATCAAAACAGAAAAATCGCATTTCTGTTTGTATTATGATCAAGAACTTCTTTGTTGATTGCCTTGAGTAATTACTAATTAACTCGACTGCCGAGTTATAAATTTATAATTAACGTCATTCGTCAGTCTGTGAATCCAAATTACCACATTTATAAACGCCCTTTTCCTTCATTACAAGTAAACAAAGAGAAAATTCCAAGTCACCATTTAGATTGATGGTTCCAAACAAAAATATTACAACTTGGTATAAACAACCTTCACCATCGGACATGGTAGGTATCCTAATCACTCAGTAACTTTTACCAACTGGAATGCAGTTTAGAACAATACCATTATACCACTCTAACTTGAAATTTCTAACAATACCAGAGACACCATTTGGTTTTACAATTTCAAAAGGGTATTGAAATTTCAAAGGGCCCGGAGAAAACAACACAGCTAGAGGTGGCAAATCAAACTCATTGAGTTGTTAATGGATACCACTAAGACTCGTTAGTTTGATTTCACCTTACACCATCATCACCGCTACTAGTCGCACCTCTATCTTACGGTGATATCAAATTCATAAGGACTTAAAACGTACCCATTAACAAATCAACCAAGGCATGGAATCGGAAACCCTTGTGAAAAGGGGTCTAAATCACCATTAAGTCCAGAAATTATGGATTGCCCACTAATTATAAAGGAAAAAATAAACATAAAGGAATCAGCTTTTTAAGCGATTCTTCATACCTGTCAAGCAAAGAGATGAACTCATGCAAATTTTCAGCCTCGCATCCCTTTACCATTCAACGGTTAAATGGTTTTCATATTTCAAGCTTTTTGCTGAATTGGGTCCTCTTTGTAAATAGATGAACACAACACACGATCACCCACCATTCTCCCAAAGAGGAGCTTATGACACCACACCCCGCAAGCTCATGCCACATGTTTTACTGTACGACTCCTAAAGCTTCCCTCTTTTTTGCTGAACGACTTGCCGTTTGGATTCGGAGGAACGTTTGTGTACGGTCATGTGTTGTTAAGGCAATCTCTAACCGAAAAGTCCAGAGGGCCAAAAATAGTCCGAAAATCGTCTTCAACCGAGGGTTATGCCAAAAATTCAAAAACTCCTTTCTGTTATAACCAGCATGAATGCTTAAAAAAAAAAAATTGAATCCAACGGCTAGCTAAATTTTTTTTTGGTTTTTTGGGCCTTTTTTAAAAATTTTTTTTTAAATTCTTAAAAATTCTAATTTTTTTTTCCTATAAATACTTAAACCATTCATTAAATTTAAGTTCTAATTTTTTTGGTTTTTTGGGCCAGTTACTATTGTAGTTTTTAACTATAAGTTGTAGTTTTTAAATTTAAGTTATTGTTGGATTTGAATTTAAGTTGTTGTAGTTTTTAAATTTAAATAATAAATTATGTTTGGCCCTATGGCTCTCGGTTGGAGACGGAGACAAATATGATCATGTACTGTTCATTAAAATATTAATATCTTAAAGGCCCAAATGGCTAAAACGAGCTTTCTGGCCAACCCTCGGTTGGAGATGGCCTAACATGCCCCATGTTATATTTGGGTGGACAATTTTAAGGGATAAAATACAAGATTACAAGTTCGACTCACATAAATGTCAAGAATGAATGTATTATATTTATGTTGAGTCCAACACATAATTTGTAGTGAACTTATTATGCGACCTTATCCAGTCTTTCTTTCCAAATAGATTACCTCTCTCCACTTAACAAGTCCACTTGCATGTAACAATGTATTGCTTGAAGTTATTGCTCGGCTCCAAGTCCAGCAGGGAAGGCGGAGTGATTGCATTAGCAAATATTGGACTGTTGGAGCTGGGTTTTAGTGTTTTGGGCAACTCTTCCTCTGCTTTGTATATAAAAGTGGTACATTAATATAAAACAAATATATACGTACGTATTATAATTTAAGTAAAACAACAATTCTACGTGAAGGTGTTCAAGATAAACTCAAATTGCTTCTACGGATTGGGGTTATTTAGGGTGAATTGGGATGAGGACAGAGAAGACATCTCTTTCAGTACCAGGAGGGAGAGGATTGGTAGCCAAGGGTGACGGAGTAACATACCTAATATGAGATCCTCATTCCACACGGATAGGAGGCTCCTAGCCTTCCTCTATCCATTCGGATTTTATTACGAATAATATGGTGTATACAAGTTAGAGGAATGTTTCATTAGTTTTGCCCCCAATACATGTACAGGAACAGTAGCAAAATATTGGATGGCAATGGCTGCTTGACTTTTTCTTCAGTGGCGGCTGACGGCTGAACCTCCCTTCTTTATGTGCCCTGCGGCCCCTAGTTTAACAGTGAACTGCAGAAGACTGAGGAGTCCATTCTAGTCTGATGTAGCCTTTCTAGGTAACCTCTCTTTTGCTTTTTCCATGAACATTCATATTATGCTAGGCAGGGTGTCAAGTGAACCACAGTGAGTCGTTGATACTCGTAAGTGTTAACGGTGCACACGTCGTGTGCCTCTAATTCTAGCACTTGTTTTTTATAATCACTTTGATAGAGCTGTTTGACTAGAGTAATATAGCAAATATGAAACCAACATGAGATTGAGTGAGTTCAACCAAATTATAAGGTGTCTCATATTTTATGAGAGTGGCTTAACTAGCTAGGATTAGAGTGCAACACTTTCATTGGGTACATGTTCAAATTGCTTAATAAGAAGAGATTCGGAGAATGAAATTTACGTAAGTGATGGATTGCCTTAGTCAGTAGGGTTTTCTTTTTTAGCTCACTTCATCATGTAGCATCACTTGTATTAAAAAAAAAAATGAAAATTTACACCGGGAACGTATATGTTTTGTTTGTTTAATTAATGACAGGTCGAGAAATAATAGAAAAGAAAAGGTTATGGCTGTGATGCTTAGAAAATGCTTGTTATGTTGCACAACAACGAAGGCCATGGTACGATCTTGAAACTTTAAAACTTGATTTTATTCATTTTATTGAAGAAGATTTTACGAATAATGAAAAAAAAAATGTTATTTTTACCATCTATTTGTACCATCACTTATAACATCTCTCTAATGGAGATGAGACCCAGATGCGTTGACAGGCCCTATCTCTTAGATACATGGTACAAATGATGGTACAATTAGATGATAAGTATAGCACTACTCAATTCAATATTGGTCCGATTATTATTTGATACAAAATTAACAGCAAGCAACAATTTCTAAGTTTATTGACTTATGTAAAAATATTTATTAGTGATAATTAAATTGGTGTTTGCTTTCAAGTTTTCAATAGCATTTCATATCACTCTAAAGAAAAAATAGGACTGGTGTCATGGTGACCAAAGAAAGCTACAACTACAAGCTCAACAATAGTTCCAACTCAAAGACAATGATTTGATTCCCCTATTTTTCAACCCAACAAGCGCATCAGTCGTGACTGGTTAAGTCGAAAAAATTGTTCCTCGCGACAGTCAGTCATGAGCTTTTATGTCAAAAAAATTTATAGATCCAAGAAATTAGTCTCAAATTTGAACAAGTACTAAAACTAAATAGATTAAATAGCGATTTAAATCTAAATACAGACAAAAGCAAATGTATATTGTGAACCACCCGGAGTTCGAAAAACATATAAGTGCCCACCCCGGTCTAAATTGGAAGACCCCAGTAGATGTATGATGAATCCAAGTCCAACCCAAACCAGGTACCAAGACATATCTAATTAAATGCATAAATATAATAGGAAAACTAATGAAATGACTTAAAAACTTTGAGTTTGAATGATAAGGACAAAATAAAGGATCAAGTGAATAGTATCAAGATTAACTTTTAGTGTAAAAATATGATTTTTCGTTAAACTAAATAGTACCGTGAACTTTTCGTTAAAGTTCCCAATGTTTAATTAAAACGAGACGCTGGCGACATCATCATTTTAGTTAAAGTTCAAGATCAACACATCTCTCAGCAATCTGCAAGAAGATCGAAGCTTCCCTTCTCACTTAATTGTGTCTTCTGGTCTAGTAGCTACTACTACTTATATATTAATTCACGAAACTCCATAACTTTCATACACTAATCTAGCATTGCAATTTGCATGCATGATGCATATATGCTATACTAAAATTGCTTAATTAGGTCTCTTGTTTTACCATTTTGCTGCTCTCACTAACCTATTATGGTACTCCATGAACAACGAAGCAAATGAAAGAAGTTAAAATCACAAATAGACTAATAACACATTAAGACATGTTGATATTAAATCGATAACACATCAAGACATGTCACGATAACAAGTTGCAAATGGCCTTCTGCTTTTTCGAAAGGGTGCATCAGAAATGCGACCGCTCTGGAGAGGTGGCCAAATATGACTCTTAATCAAAACCCAAATGTCTTTCTTTAGGAAGACGATGAAAACAAGAAGAAGAAGAAGATAATATCTGATAAAAATTCAGTCTCAGTTGCACGCGACAATTTAAATTGGAATTTCGACAGTTCATAGGAATGCCTCCAGCTAAAAATAGAAATAAATAATTGCTTTTAATCACTCACTCGCCTTATGCTTTTTATTTTATTTTTTAATAGGAGTGTGATATCCACAAATTTTATTTTGCTTTTCATACACCGTTTTAATTTTCAACCGTCGGATCGGATGAATTGAAGAAGATCAACGGATATAAATTATCAAGCAATGTGTGAAAAGTAAAATAGAATGTTTGGATAGCATAATCCTTTCTAATATCATTGCTTGTCACGTTCCCTTTACCCACCACGTGGCGTCCATCTACAACGCTTCTCCTAACCTATTTTGGTGCCCCTTCATTATTTTCTCTCTTTTCATTTGACCATAAATACATCTATTAAAAAAAAGAAAAAAAATTTCACCAGAAATACATTATTTTTTCTAAAAGAATTTACAAATAGTGTCTTAATTTGACATTGTTCGTTTTGGTTTCGAGCACTTGAGAGAGATTATTTGATAATTATTTTGTTTTAAATTTTTGTAAATTAAAAATTAAAATTTTATTTGTTAATTATTTTCATTTTTAAAAAATTGAAAATAAATCAAAACATAAAACCTCTATTGCAAATTTTGAAAATTCAAGAAAGTAGTCATATAGTTTAGTGTTATTTCTCTTCACTAGTAACTGAGAGGTCTTAGGTTTTGAAAAACATTATTATGGTTAGCCTAATGTGCTCACTCCCCCACCCTTATAGTGCAAATAACATCGTTTGTTAAAAAAAAATAAAATAAATTGTTTTCAGTTTTCAAAAAAATAAAAATAAAAAACGAAAACAAAATGGTTACCAAATGGTCCCTAATTTTTTTGTTTTTGGTTGAATGATCTAATTTACTTTCAAAGTTCTTATTTGCCTACCATCTTAAAATTTTGTAACATTGTAATTAGTATTTCATTAAAAATACTATAATGAGTGCAAACAATGTTTAATCTATGTTGCAAATGGCGCTTTACAACACTGGTGGAAAATCATAATATTTATGCACTATGGTGTAAGTTCAACCCTCATCTATTCCTCCTAACAAATCAACCAAGGCATGGAATGGGAAAGCCCACTAATTATAAAGGAAAGATAAACAAAAAGGAATCAGCTTTTTAAGTGATTCTTCATACCTGTCAAGCGCACTTATGCAAACTTTCAGCTTCGCACCCCTTAATCATTCAACAGTTAAATGGTCTTCATACTTCAAGCTTTTTGCTGAATTGGGTCCTCTTTGTAAATAGATGAACACACCACACGATCACCCACCATTCTCCCAAAGAGGAGCTTATGACACCACACCCCAAAAGTTTCCCTCCTTTTTGCTGAACGACTTGCCGTTTGGATTCGGCGGAACGTTTGTGTACGGTCATATGTGGTATAA